GTGGGGGGGGGGGGGGGTAATATCATGAGAGCATCCCTTACATACTGGTCGTTATGGTCAAATTCAATTTAGAGGACGGTGTTTGAGTAACCAAGTGATTTCATTTATAAAACGTTTTGTGCCTTAAAAGATCAGCACTTTCTTTGTGGAATACAAAAAGGCCTTAAAAAACAAAAACAAAAAACCATACTGCCTCTCTAATAAATAAAATGAAGGTGATCACAGAAGTTGAACTGCACAGCCTCGAGTCAAGATAACAGAATGTATTCCTTACAGAATGTGGGCAGCCATTTGCCTTATTACGTTGAAGGCTCAGATATGCTAGTTATCCCCGTCTATTACCTATGGTCTTTTTGTTGAGATTTATCTCCATGGTAACATAAAGAGATGGTAAAAATAAATTCACCTGCAAGTGCCCTGACTTTTAAGTTTCAGTTGTTTTTATATTCCTTTCAATATACGTGGAATTTTTTTTATTTTTTGTGACGTGCAATGACTGTATTTTTCCTGGTGTTTCAGAAATTTGGAACAGAAATATTTAGAAGAATGCTAGGATCCAGCAGCTCATGTTGAATGCTAGATGAATGACAATCTGACCCGGTGTTATAAAGAGACTACCGACAGATGTATGAACATGTTGGTCTGTGATGAAACACGTTTTGATCGTAGATAACATATTCCTTGCAATGGGCTGAAAAAACACATTCGCATCAGACAGCATCAATTGGAATAATTTCCAATCGTATCAGCAAAATATAAACAAAAACAAGGCCAAGAGTTCGAGCTTTAATTCAAGCCATGATCGTACGAATGTTTATCATGATGTTATATCCTGATGGAAGTTCCCCGTGTTGATGCTTTTCTGTGCACCCTGAATATATGGGTTATAACCGTGACTTCCTGATGGGCAAAGCTCATCGAAAGGAGAAGCTTTTCTTGTGCAAACAAGCCAGTCTCTCTTCATGTAAATGAATGTAAAAACACAGACCAACGAGATCAGGCTAGGTAATATTCTCTATCCTTGATTTACATCTATCAACAGTAAACTCAGGTTCACATCTCTCAGGATCTCCCAGGCATGTTCTGAATACCTTCTTTGACAGCTTTCTTATTAAATGTCAAAAACTGTTTAGGATAATAGTCTAGATATCAAGGAAGTGCGTTTATAGATGTGCAGCAGACCTTCCCAAGGTTTCCACCCCCCACCCCCCTAAGTACAGGGTATATTCTCTTATATCGTATATTGTGTTATAATGGTAAAGCGTCATGGATCTACACCTGATACCCAGGGTGATTGTTGTGCTACAGATGTAAACAAATACCTGAGTGTGCGAACTCGAGTCAATACCTAGTAAACCTGCAGATCAGCCGCCTCCTTAATGCGTCTTTTACTGAAGTGTTTTCAGGAAAACTCAGCAAATAAAATACGTGGCGATAATAGGCCTAATAGTAAAACATCTGCGATATCTCGGCTGAAATTATCTTTGTTAATATGATTAGCGTGTTAAGATGCTGGGCGGTACACACGCCGAGACATCATAACAGAGGAGGAAAGCCAAACCTCTGTGACAGTTTTAATGAATTTTCTTAATGTACCACGACAGTTAATCACATATCTCTTTTTAATCTTTAGATCATGATGTCAGAACCATCTCATATTCGGTAATATGTGGGGGGCAAGACACTCTGAATAGACCTTCTTTATTGGAAATGCCTAATTACAAACACCAGAGATAAAGCAGACCTTTATATTGGTGTGAGCATGATATATATATATCACATAATACGGTACTTTACCTTCGGCCGTTTCCAGGTAATATCAGCTTCTCGAATTGGCACGTTGCCATCGGGATTTATGCTTTCAATGGCTGCGGGAAAGGTTTCATCTTCATACAGGGAGCCATCGTTGAGACAGCGAGCCTCAAGAGTAGTGAACGTCGAGGCTGAAGGCATGTTGTCAAGCATCACTGCTGGTGACACGGCGACACACGCGGCGTGACGCGGGAGGTTCACCTCACCAAAACGCCCTGTTTCTATTAGTCGTCCAACCAACCAACGCCAACCAAGAGGCAGCCGAGGCAACAGCAGGATGAACGCGTACTTGTAAATTATGCGGAAACCATGGCAGCTCTGCCCTGTTTTGCTCTGATCTATTTTTTGCTGTAGACTGGTTCTCTCCAGTCTATTAACTCTGCTCCTACCTGCCAATAATTCACTTTCCTCTGCCTTTTCCAGACTCAGTGCTCCTCCCATCATGCTTTACTGAGTAAAAATAAACCGAAGAAGAACTAGTGTTGGAGTTTGGCCGTTAATGAAGACATAAGGGCCAAAAAAATCAGTGTAAAATACTCGATAAAGAAGATTTTGATGGCCTCATCAATGTCCAATGTCCAAAATCAAGTTCATCGTATTTTGCACAGATTTATCACTTTTCGCTGAAAAAAAAATTGTGACCCTTAAATGATTTAAACCGACATACCTAAGCCATTTCATGGACATCAATGATTACGCTTCATTTTGATACAAATAATATTTGCTCCAGAGAAGGTAACAGTCTTTTCTGTATTTGTTTTAAAACCAAAGACAAAAAATCTAAAGGAAAAACTACTGGCAATTGCCCCATAAATAATGTTACAAACCAGGCAGAAAGCCCTGGGAATACAAAACAGCCACATAAAAAACGATAGTATTGGAGCAAAGTAAAAAAGCAAGAAAATTAGGAAATTAACACATCCACATTTTAATACATGGTCCGCATACAATGTAAGTTTACTGCAACATGTTAGATTAGTTTTGACGCGCCGAAATTGGTATATAAATATTAACAGTTCACCGTGAACCGTCTATTGTAATTCGTATTTTAAAGGAATAAACAGGTGCAAGACCAAGTCGTTGACTCTGCGGGTACTTATATCCGTATTTATTTCAGTTCACTGTAACATAAAGGAATATGAATGAGTTTTGTGAAATATCGTCACTGACACCTGTACCTGCGGTGTACTCTTCTTTTATAAACATAACACTAAAACGGGTTCCGAAGCGTTATATATGACGTCATTAGACAGGCGCAAGCTCAGCAGAGCACCAACTAAGTATTGAGATTGCGGCTGTGGAATGCAAATTTTGTAATCGGAATTTTCCACTTAAATACATGTACAAAAAAGGCTTTTCTTTCAGTGTTTAGACGCATAATAAACAAAGTGGAGCGGGGTGGGGGGTGGGGGTGGGGGGGGGGGGGACAAAACGCCGACCAATGACTTACACATGCTGGCCAGTCATTTAGAACTAAATCATTAAATAGAATAAAACATCGATCCCAAATGCAGGGGCGGATCGGAAGAGTCGTAAGTAGGAAAAATGCTCCACCCCCCTTTCCCCCCCAAAAAAAAAAATTCACCTTAGCAGGTAAATTCCATACACAGACCCCCTGTAACTCAAAATCTCAGGGAGTTAACGGGTCAACTAAAATGTCATTAGCAGATAAAAGAGGCTGCTTTAATCCAGTCAGCGTTGTGTTCTATTATTCAATGCATATTGCATCTTGGAGAGAAGAGAAATGACATTTGTTCTCATCATCAACTTCAGCACCTCTATCACAATGCACAATACATTTACTGAACACGTGAAAATCTCGTGAGAGTTGACCATTAACGAGATTACAGGAATTCAATATGGTGGATGGGCGGAAGTGAATCATTTAAATCTATTTTATTTTTACGCCCTTATCTGACTCAGGCTTAACTCTTTAAGTTTCATACTATTCAGAAGCAACGAAGTTTCATCAGGATGCAGACACAAGAAGCTCCTGGAAACGATGGAAGTTTTAGTATCTCCGGTAAGTTGATGGACCGTCACGGACACCCCATCTCAAAATTGTGCCTTTGTGTCAGATTGTTTATGTTTTCTAAAATAAAATGATCGTCTTTATATATCTGTGAAGGGAGTGGGAATGCATTGTTTACATTTTGTGCGACTGCTCTTCATCTCTGATGCTTAAAATGTTGTAATAAACATCTATAGACTTATATTTTCTCTTAAAATCAAAATTTGTGGCAACTGTCGTTCTTATTCTATCATTGACTGGGACGATAGCTTGTTGTCATTTCCCAGGAACAAGCGCCCTGCAATGTCACAACTGTCAGACGCAAACTGTCAGTTTATAAATCCATAGCCCAGACTAGTTTTCAACTTTGATATTTTTTAAACTGAAAACGGCTACCATTGGATTTTTTAAAAGAAAGGTCACTGTACAGTAATGAGTTTGATCTGGCATCGATAAAAACATTTATTTAACATCATAGACTAGTTTTGTGTTTCTCTGCAGATCTGAGCCTGGAGGAGCAGGAACTGCTGGAGGATATCCGCAAACGCAAGCTCCAGCTGCTACAGGAGATCAAGGTCAGTGCTTCCTGTTGCTGCTCAGTCTCTTCCTGAACTCACTCCATTGATTAAGAAACCATTCCCAATGCAACTACCAATCTACATAGAAGGATAGTTTCCAAAAGAACGAGTCTTTAGTCTTTTCCTGAACTCACTATACTGTGATGATTAAGATCTTAGTTTAATTTAAGAAAATGCATTGCTTTTAAGCAAAAAGAAGTTCCTCAAAGAAGATTTAAAAATTTTGATAGACCATTGATAACTTGTTTTCATTATTTGCCATATTAAAATGGGGTGTTTGAGAAGTGTTTACTATGGGGATAAGGTGGAAGGATGCAGGGTGGACTTTTTCAGGATGAATGTTTATTGATAGAAAAATAGTTGAACTTCAAATATCTGACTGTGGAAGTCTTTGACTGAAAAGGCAAAATATTTCAGAACTATTAACCGTATTAAAATCTGCTATAATTATTTAGATAGAAGTACATTGCAATTATGCCCAAAATATATTTACTCAAATCATGATGGGAAGTCTAATCTTGAACAGAATTGGTAAAAATATAAAGTAGCTCCTCAGCAAACTAAACTTTAGAATAATTGGTGGTACCAATCATGATGTATGACTCAGTTGCAGATATATATATATATATATATATATATATATATATATATATATATAATTTAATGTGAAATTTGAAATAACCCTGTCAGTCACAGTGAACTATATTCCTGTATATGTACACTAGACAAAATATAAGTATTCAGTACTAAAAAAAAATTAATGTAAATAAAGATTTTACAGGTTATTGCCATAGAAGCATTTAATTATTTATTTGAATTAAAAATTATTTATTAATGTTATTGGTTATAGAGTCTTTGAATATGAAAGCTAATGAAATCGGATATTTTTTTTTCCTGGAACCAATATGGCAATTTTTAATCAAATTCCATATATATCAGCCAAGGCCCTTTTCACCAGCTAGGTTCTAGAATGTTATGCAGCCTTCAGGGATTTGATTCATGAATATATCTGACCTTTAAGTACATTACATGGTCAGCTTTTGTCATTTTGATTGAATCGTATGACATTTACATGGCAGAATTGTTGAAGTGATTGAGGCATTTGTTTTCATCATAACTGTAACAGAATTTCCTTTGTTTAGGGTTATAAAAGATTGACAGTTAGTTCTTTTCTCTTTGGTTTAACTTTTGCTTTTAAAAACATTTCTGTTGTTAGTTGAAATTGCAAAATAATATGGTATGCATTGATATTACACAACAGTCTCTAACCTTGATTTACCATTTGTTCCCTGTTATGTAAACATGTCACAGAGATTTGGATTTAGAATTCTTGGACCCTGGACGGTATTTTGATTTATGGAGGTGTCTGCAGATATGTAGTCTGGCTAACCTCAATAATATGCCCACTTTAAATATTAGTCTTTATTTCTTATGAATTTTGTATTAACATCTGTTATGAAAAAGGTCAATAAGTTCGAGGGAAAACCTATTCAATCTCTTCCCCCTCAGCTATGTTCCAATCTGGTTATGATATTATTGTTGATTAGATCCACGAAGACTGGACATTTAGTGCATTCTGCCAGAGGAATGGCAGGTGGAAATAGTTTGAAATTCTTCTGATACCACATTACTCCATCTCACACTGTCAGTGAATAGAAAGCTCACATGTGTGTATCCTCCTAATGTACCATACACCTTCTCACTCTCTTCACCAAGGGTCACTTAATATGCACTGCCATGAAGCTATCAGGTGGTAATTATTCCCACAATTTTAATGAGTTGTCTAATTATCTTAAATGAGACAGGTTTACATTTTATTAATTTTTATGGGACTTTTATAGTGGTTTAGGAAACCTTGATAACAGGAAGTAGTGTTTGATGTGTAATCAGTGGTGGAATGTGTTATAAGATGTTAAGAAGGGGTGTCTAGGGAAGTGTGGAGGGGGGAGGGGCTGTCAGTGCTCTGCTGCTTGGTTTGACAGGTCCTGTGGGGTGTAATTATAAGCACATCAGTGGGAAGTGTAATGTGTGGCAGGTGCCCTGACAGAGGGTTTAATATGGGAGAAGATTACAGGGTGCTGGGAGACCTGGACTGAGTGCTGGTCAGTGGTGGTCAGTGGTGGCGTGAATACAGCCAGAGGCACTCCTTGGCCTGTGGTCAGCTTTAGGAAGATTACTATATACTGACCAACTGATCAGATTTAAGTGGCTTTACCAGCAATATTAAGTCTATGATGTTTGAAGGTAGTGGAGACATGTTTTTCTCTCTCACTAATGGAATATGCTAGTTGGACAGAGAAAAGTGGTTTTGAATGTACTGTAATGATATGCTGTACAGAATGGCTGGCAGAGTTTGGAGACAAAGTTCTTCATGTAGGATTTGATGACAACTAGAAGAAGACGTAGTCTGTTTGTGGTTGGAAGCAGAAATTGCTGTATTCATGGTAGATGTAGGAAAAAGATCAAGCAAATTTTGACTACACTTGCAACTGTACGTTGTGCTTATGAGGATTTCCTGGGAATCTTTTTGACAGAGTTTGATGTATACACTACAGAACATTTATTATGAAGAAGAACAAATTAAACAGTCCTAAGGGCACTTTGGTGCCCAAAAGATCAAATATAGTGACTCTGGCCTCTGTATTATACACCTCATTGACGGCCATTTTGAAATCCAAATGGAATAGTAGAACAGTTTCAATGCCAGCACAGGTGAGTGACAGCTATCATAGTATGGGGTTGTGGCACAATGTCATAATGGTATTGGACGTGAAGTTTATAACAGCAAGCTCCAATATATATTGTGTTTGTAAACTGACCACTGCACTAGTATGTTCTAATCCTCTGTTCACGCTGTAGTCAGTAATCTGTATAAGTAGTGAATTGAGTCATGATTCAGATATATCTGGTAGTGTTTATAAACATTCCTGTAAACTGATTTATCAAAATCCTGGAAGTGAGGTGGATTTAAAGATGGATTTGGATAACTCCACAACTTATATTGGTGCGCCAAAGTAGTAGAGGTGTGTTTATTACTTGTATAAAGCAGTGTATGGTTCCCCAGTGTGAATTCATTGCTAGTAAAGAGCAGGATACTGTATGTAACTTTCCCTGGTGTTGCTGAGATTTTTTTGTGTTGGACTTGATGAGCCACATAAAAATAGATGCTAAAGAAAGCCACAGTAGAAAAAATGCGCTAAGTAGCACTATATTTTAATTTTTTGTATGTGCATGGTTTCTTTCGTGGTGCATGTGTGATGGTATTAACAGGGAGTATTTACCTGGGTTTTTAGAGAAGGCAGATTGGTTTCTCTAAATAAGAATTGCAATATAAAATTCCACAAGTAATATGAATTAAAATGTTACATATTTTACAAACAAGAGTGATGAGAAAACTGTGTCTTAGGATTTGAGCAGAAAGATAGTCAGTGTATCAGTAGGCATCTCACTTCCCATATGATAACACTGAGATATTACCTGATAATTTGATTTCCTGGCTAAGATTGCTGTAAAAGATATACCAGAACATTTGTAAGTGTTTATGTTGCCAGTATTGTGTAATTAAGCTGCTATATGGGAAGGAAGAACTTTACTGATATAATCCATAGTGTACATGTAATCAAGCTACATGTGATTATAAAATTACAACCACACAAATAAATAGATAAATATATGATACAGTTTGGTATAGGTAATAAGAAAAAAATCATATGTCAGTATGTGTCAGCTGCCAGGGAAGATGCATGCTGTAGTCCTGTCCATGGTGTTAATGAAGTGTGTCATGTAATCCACCCCTTCCTGACACTCTGGTATGTCCAGAGTGGGCTGTATTCATGGCTTGGCTACACAGTTTATTAGCTAAAATTATGAACTGATATCTACACTGTGGCTCCTAGTGTGATAAGACATGTAATTATGTCCTCCCAGGAATGAATGTCATGTAATGAGAGATGGTCTCTGGACACACACATGCCAAGTTGAGATTAATGGCATGGTTCAAGGTGGTGTTGTTCAGTAATTACATGTTGTTTATATGAAATTGACAATAGATTGAACATGTATACAACCCAATAAATTATTTCATGGTGAATCAGTTTGGTCCATTTATGGATGAAGTGTATAAAAATATGGCATCAGTAACTAAATGATTGTATCTTTACCTGTTGAAAACATTGTAGGATCATATTGATTACAATATTACTACTAGTAGTTGATGAACACTCAGAATTTTAAAACAGATTAACATTTTACTACACACAACAAGTCATTTTTGTGGTCTGTGTAATCATATAGGCAAGTGGGCCACCCCCTGAGCTCTCCTGAGAACAGACCTGGCAGAAAGGTGTTTGTATTAATTACCTGATGTAACAAGCTATGTGATTCTTATGACTGGTATAAATCAGTCCTATCTCTCCTGAACTCTGGGGTACAGTAGGAATACTATATTGTATGGGTCAGGATGAAGAACATGCTGTCTTCTAGCTTGTCTAAGAGTATATAAGTCACATAGTGTTTGAGGGTGAGTTGGTGATTTAGGGTATACTTAAACAAGTGGAACTACAGAATTTCAGTAAAAAACTTAGTAATTGAGTTAACTTGTTGCTGTATTTACTCTTTAGTCTCTATCAGATTAAGAATGTCTAGTCAGTCAATCTTGTTTCCAGCTAAAATTATCTTAAAATGTGAGCACTTGGTAAAAATGGTCTGAATGAAGATAGATAGCTATAGCCCTCAGTTTTAAATTCAAGGTCCTCAGTTCCCAGTGATGTTGGAGGGAAGTATAAATACCTGGATATTTTATATGTAGATTACATGGCTAGTTCTGGTCAGTTTTCTTCCTTTGATTACTATGTTGACCCAGGGGACAGGGATTAATGTGTTGACCCAGGGGACAGGATTACTGTGTTGACCCCAGGAGACAAGGGTGCTGGGAAAATGTCCGTCCCAGGAATTTTGAGAGATGTGAACCAGTTGTCTGATCAGTCTCAACCTGCTCTGGGTAACATCTCTCCTCCACCACATTATCTCCATTAAACTTTTGATTGTTTTAAAACTGTGGGAAAGATGGGACCAGGTAATTGGTTTTAGTGGCTCTAATATTAAACTGCCATGTAGAGGAGGCATGTCAAAGACACATCAATTGTTGGGATGGGATAAGGAGATTTTTTTTTACTTCATCTATAAAGTGTGTCTGCCATAATAACCTGAAATTAAGTAGATATAAGCAGCAGCCATTACCTTGCCAGTGGCTACTCCTTGTCTACACAACATAGAAATAGATGTTTTATTAATAGGAATGGAATTAGATAATGCATTACCCTGGTAAACTGGAAAAATATAGGCCTAGTCTGCACTAAATGGTTACTATTAAACTTTGAGGCAACTGTATTAACTCTAGAAACTACTTAAAATAATAAAATGAATTTATTCTGTTAAGCTTGTCGAAGTATGTTTTGAAATAACCCCAGAAAATGGTTAAGAGATGAAAAAATATAAGCCACCTGTGCACTACCTGTGCCGCATGTCATGGCCAGTTGACCAGCAGGCAGGCTAGCATTATTACAGTGATTGGCTGTGTGGGAGTGACCGTACTGTAGAAGTCAGAAGTTCAGTTCTAAGCCTAGAGGTATTCTCTGTACTCCTGTGTTGTGTGGGTCTTTAAGACACCTGCCGGTGAAGTATAAAAATAGGAGAGGCTACAGACTGTACTGGTTACCTGTAGGGACTGGGACAAACTGTGTGTGTGTGTGTGTCACACTTTCATTATTACTGTGGATACCTGTACACTGACAGCCTGGTCTAATACTGGACCATGAGTCATCTACACAATACCTGACCAGTCTTTGTATTGATATATTGGTAATGATTGTGGTGTATATGTTATGTCAATGTACTAAGTACTGGACACTATATTGGTGCATTATTGACAGTTCATGCAGGGTTCTAGGAATACATGGTGATATAACTGTCATTACTGAGACTTCATTTAGGACAATGTGACGTGTTTATAGGGGCAGCACAGATGATATTGGATAATAGAGGGTTTTATAATGGAACCCTATCTTCAGTGTTTTTACTGGTTGATATTAAGCTTCAGTGTGGATAGTGTGTATGATATCAAAGAATACTTGTCCCTTTCACATTTATAATTGTACTGTTTTACAAGAGAGTAATTTTTGTTTTATTATTTTAGCAACTTAAAGATGAGATTGCGGAGGTGACAGCAGAGATGGAGTCCATGGATTTCTCAGAGGACAGGTAGGCTGACAACAAATTATCATTTAAATAATATCTTCTGTACTGTTTCTGAAGAGGTGTTCAGTAATACTGACTGCTGGCTTTGATAAGATTCTTTGTGAGAACTTGAAGTTTTAATGATAACAGTGATTATGATGGTTTCTTCCAGAGCTTCCCTGAAATATGGCTTCCTAACTTCAATTTTAGTGATTGTGTCTCTATTTTAAATTTATCATGGTTAAAAGTAATTGATGGGATTTCATTGATAGGACTTCATTGAATTAGGCAAAGAAATTAAATCATTATGTACATATTTCAGTAAAAACAATCCGAAGACCAAGCAAATGTCTATCGGCAGGAAAAAATTCAACATGGACCCTAAAAAGGTAAGAAATCTATATTTCAATGTAGAGGTTAAGCCTTTTATTGTAGATATGTGTAGTACTGTTCTGAATTTGAAACCATGCCAACTGAGATGTGTTTAAGTAGCTAAAATATTTCTGAAAAGAAAATTCATAATATTATTCTGTATTCTGTGCTGGAAATGCTTTTGAAAAAAGAAAAAAATGGTAAAACAGAAGTAAAAAAAAGTCATAAAATTACATGCCAAAGTGAAATCTCTATATAAAGATATTTTCTGGGTTGTTAAAGTTGAGATACAAACAATAATGTGGCAATTACTAGTGCGCCCAAGACAACTTCCTCCTTAAGATAACCATCTTGTAGACATGTCAAGGTTCTCTGGTAATACAACATGGTAATTCCATAGCAGTTTTCCTTTGCCAGTAGATAACTACCTCTGCTTGAATAACTATCTTACTTAGTCAGGAAAACAGGGCAGTTGGAGATCTAGAGAGTAAAAACAAAGTAATTATGGCAGACATTTTGCCCTGTTATACACACAAACATGGGTTTACTGACATAGGGGGAAACATTGGGTATGGAGTAATGGCAGTTGACAGCTCTCCTGTGCCAGAGATTAGTCCAGTAAATACACACACACATGCCCCATGTCAGGTAGAGACAGGTAAGATGACCTCTGGCTCAGTGGTAAGTTAAATAGCAGCTGGCAGGAGGCAGATGTCGGGATGAGAGGAGGAAGCATCTTCCTGAGAGCACCAACTGACTCCAGATCTCCTTGGGCTCTTACTTCTGATGGGAAGTGACAGTTAGTTATTAAGATGCAATTATGTATGCCAGGTGTGGCTGCTCTGAAGTGCCCATCTCTCTCTCTCTGGAGCATGCATCACAATCTTCTACACTTCACAAACTTGGAGGTCCATCCTCACAAACCTTGGAGGTCCATCCTCACAAACTTTGTTTTATATTCAGTGACAGGCCATGTCCTCATTTCAACCCACTTGGGGTGATGCTGTCGTGAAATAACACCAATGTTGTCAGGCAGGTGGTCTGCTACAGCTAATAATTGAAGATCTTTACTAACTGTGTGAAGACACACTCTGCTTATTTCAGAATACACTTTTTGATAGCGAAATTATAGTCATTACACTGTTGAAAATATTGATACAATCTTCAAGCACTGGCTGGCAGATTTACTGTGTATATGTTCTATTATGTGCTATAAGAAACATCAGGGTAGGTTTACATCCCTCCCAAGCAGCACTGATTCCATCTTGGACTGGGTTCCCATACCTAGATTGATCTAACAGGATCCATCCATCTCTGGGGGGTTTCTCGCTAAATTGCCTTCTCTGGGGGGTTTCTCGCTAAATTGCCTTCAGGTGAAGTGGCACAGATGTCTGGCATAACAGACATCTAAGGTGCTTAAGTTGATTGCAATTTAGCTAGAATCTCTTTAGAGATGGAGCGATCCACAGTTGGTATGATAGGGCCTGGGAATGGTCCCTTGCAGTTGTTTTTATTTGGTGCAGATTCTCCATGTTATTCCACTGCAGGACAGATAAGATGAATTCTGTTCACACATGTATTTGATCTCCTCTCCACACAATACACCCACAGATAGCTGTATCCAGGAATACAGAACACTAATATACCAGGGATGTTTACCTAGAGGAGATATCATCAACAACTAGGTGTTAATTTAGACCCTGGAATACTGCTTCATTTGAGCCTTATTGTTACTAAAGAAGTGTTTGTTTGATAGAGGTTTTAACTTCAGGGTGTTACCTGCTGTAAAATACCCTCACTGTTTGACATATGACTGGTATGTTTATCATAAAACTTGAATATTCTTGACACTTATGCCTAATTGTTGCAATATATTCAGTTAGCAGCGCAAAAAAATAAGCACCATCTCATTAATGAAGTTTTAGCTAATTATTATGTATAGAGTAATCTTGCTTAATATTGTCAAGTGAGATCGCTTTGATAGATATTTTATCCTTTATTATATCGAATTATCTACCTTTGAGATGTAAGCATAATAGATTAGTGTTAGAACTTAAGTAGCTTAGATAGCGAACAATGTTAAAATGTAACATCATAAGAGCTGAATAAATTATTATTATTATTATTATTTTGAATATTTTAGTACGATATTTATATCATACATACTCTAATAAAAATTAATCGATCTTTTGACAGCTAAGTACTCTCCATTGAGTTAAAAGTATTATCCTTTTGTGGAGTCCAGTTTATCATAAAATTGGACCAGTGTGGTAATGATGATATAATAATCATCATCATCATCATAATAATAAACTTAATTTTAAGAGGATAAACATGTTTAGTGTATATTTATTTTCCACATGGGTCTCTGATATCTGAGATGTAACTCACCATGTGACTGTCCACTGTTAACAATGTCATCATTCTCTCCTTCAGGGTATTGAGTACTTGATAGAGAATGGCTTGCTACAAAACACCCCAGAAGATGTGGCTCAGTTCCTGTACAAAGGGGAGGGGCTGAATAAGACAGCCATAGGGGAATACCTGGGAGAGAGGTAAGGAACCCATCTGGATTATACTTACCACTTACAGTCTTAAAGGTCAGTTAAAGATTAGCAGAACTTACAGGCCTGGAGGTAAATTAGAAATTTACAGAACTTACAGGCCTGGATATCAATTAGACATAAACCGAGTCCTGAAATCAAGTTGGTAGTTGATTCTGTATGTTATGTACTACACTTGAAAAGAAACCATTTCAAGAATTGTCTTTTCCATGTAATATTTTAATATCACTCACAGAAACTTATCCCAATGTGTATTTTGTGTTTGTAATAATATATAGGATCCATTTCAATCTTTCCATGTTACAGGAATGACTTCAATGTAAATGTCCTGAAAGCGTTTGTGAACCTCCACGAGTTTTCAGACATGATATTGGTCCAGGCCTTGAGGTAAAAATTATACACACTCTGTCTATTCTGTACCATATCATAATTGCCAAGATTGAATTTCATTTTACCCATATGATAAACAACATTGGGTTATTCATAATGATGAAATTTTGAAAACTGTTCAATTTCTACACTATACTAGTAACTGAAAGAGTACCTGTAATAATTTCCGTAAGAACATGGGGTTACTTTTTGTAGTTGGCTTATCCTTTATTCAACATTTCTGGTTTTTATAATATTTTTCATAATAAATTTTGAAATAATATGCTCAGTATTCTTGATAATTGCAGGCAGTTTTTGTGGAGTTTCCGTCTTCCTGGAGAAGCACAGAAGATTGACCGCATGATGGAGTGTTTTGCTGAGCGATACTGTGAGCTGAATCCTGGCGTCTTTCAGACAAATGGTGAGGACTGACTCAGACAGCAAATTATTCAGTCTTTTGATTACTGGGACTACCTAACTAAGTATATAACTAAACTTCAACACATATATCCAGCATATATCTACAGACATGTACAGTAATATTTATACCATATTATCTAATGAAATTTAGCTATTCTCATCATATAATTGCTTCCAAAGGAATGCTTTTACCTTGTTTTTCTCTACAAATCTACCCTGTTCATTAGTGACTTTCATAACTTGTTAAGACATTTCTCACCTAGCTGTGAAGACTGTCCTGTTATTTCACAGATTCAGGCACAAGCACCTGCTGCACTGTTGTAATTCCATTCCATTCATTAGTATATCAAAGCAGGATTTACACCTTGTGCTTAGAATGGGTCTTTTTGCCATTCCCGATACCTCCCGTGTGCTATCGTTTGCCATAGTGATTATAATTGGCGTTTTCGTCATTCCAGACACCTGTTACGTGCTGTTGTTTGCTATAAAGATTCTTATTGGTGTTTTTGACATTCCAGAGNTCTACCCTGTTCATTAGTGACTTTCATAACTTGTTAAGACATTTCTCACCTAGCTGTGAAGACTGTCCTGTTATTTCACAGATTCAGGCACAAGCACCTGCTGCACTGTTGTAATTCCATTCCATTCATTAGTATATCAAAGCAGGATTTACACCTTGTGCTTAGAATGGGTCTTTTTGCCATTCCTGATACCTCCCGTGTGCTATCGTTTGCCATAGTGATTATAATTGGCGTTTTCGTCATTCCAGACACCTGTTACGTGCTGTTGTTTGCTATAAAGATTCTTATTGGTGTTTTTGACAATCCTAGTTACCTGTTACGTGTTGTAGTTTGCTATAAAGATTCTTATTGGTGTTTTTGTTATTCCAGATACCTGTTACGTGCTGTCGTTTGCTATAATAATGCTGAACACCAGTCTTCACAACCCCAGTGTGAAGGAGAAACCGTCAGTGGACAGGTTTATTATGATGAACAAAGGAATCAATGACGGTGGGGACCTGCCTCCTGCTCTGCTTACGGTGAGTATGCTGGTTATCCCCCCACACCCCACACCCTCCTTCCTCCTCTTCAGTTAATCGGGGGGAGGGGGGGGGGGTATCATTTTGGTGGTGCAGTATTTTCTGGTCCACTTTTTCAAAAATTTTCAATCAATGCCAAGGAAATTTTACTCCAGACCCTAGGATGAACGTGAGCTGTGGAAATTCCTTTCTTCTAGTCTTTGACTTAGTTGGTGCAAGGGAAATGCACTGCACTTTATTTTTGGTATCCAGATTTTTTTCACAAAAAAACATACAGAAAAGAATATTCATATATTGCCTTGTTTCATTTTCAGAGCTTATATGAGAGTATAAAGAAAGAACCATTCAAAATTCCTGAAGATGATGGCAATGATCTGATGCACACTTTCTTCAACCCCGACAAGGAAGGTTGGCTGTGGAAGCAAGGTAAGGAGTCAGCCTCTCGGCACATGGCAAGTCTCTCTGGACAATTGACCAGTCTTAGTAGAGATGTTTTAATACTGGCTTTGTGTCACAGATTGAGTACTATGTTGTAATACACCATGTTGTAATGCACTATTTTCAATAGATATTTGTAATGAAGCCTCAAAAATTGTCATAATCAATGTTAAATGTACTAGTCTTGTTTCCTCATGAATCTATATGTAAAATAAGAAGTAATAATAGTACTGTTTATGAATACTGTATTGGTTGGTTTAGATGTGTTGTAATTTATCAGTATTACTCCATGCACCTAATGCTAGATGCAGTGCTGTGCAGTGCATATGTTAAAGTTCTGGGATGGCAAGTGTGGGCAGTGTACATAGCATGCTTGTTCACTGGTCTGCTCAGCATTATCTGTAGTTACAGACCACACCAGAAACTGACCTCTTTAATCTGAACGGGATTGTTGTCCCTGATAGCTTTGCTGGTTAGAGAGAGCAGTTTCTGAAAGTGTCTGAAACTCTGTTGCTGACACCTGACGATTCTCCTGTTAAACCATGTTTATAGAGAATGACCCAAGTACAATATCTTCTGTTATACTGGCATGCATTTCATGTCATCAGTTTTACTCAGTTATCTTGTCCGAATCTTTAAGTCACAAATCAGACTTGGGTTTTTTTGTGACTTGTATTTTTCCAGTACTCAGCATATATATGGCTAACCTGTGTAATACTCCTGGTATCTTAGTGTGCAGGGTGGATTTCAGGAAAGGACTTGTTTGCCCTCCGTAATATGTCCTTCTGGGTTGGTTCAACAGAGAATGAGGTCTTATTCCAGTAACATGTTTTACAAAGATATAATAATTCAGGGTTTTTGTATAATAAGATCTTTAATATTTGAGCTGGGTGAGATCTATATGCTGTTCTTTTTCATCTAAAAACTTTCTGTTCTGCCCTCTTCAAGTGGTGTGCATGTTTAAATCATATATGTCCCCTTTTTGTATACGACACAGGATGGCTAAAGAACCCATGATGAATATGAAATATTTGGTTCTTTATCATAACTTTCCTATGGCTGCATGTTCCAATAGACAGTATAGGCTGTAGAATATTAACATTTCCCTGTAGTCATCTGCCTGTGTTCATCTTTACAGAATCAATCAGATTCTTATGAAATGAATATTTAGTGACTTGTAATGCTACCTTTTTTATCATCCGTCATTTGGTATAGATAGTTGTTGTGGGTAGTTGCAGTTTTTTCCCCTGCTGCTCAAAATCTAGTTTACTTTCTTTTTTTGGTTACATTTTGATTTCAACCTTTCACTTTTAAGCTTCCATTAGCTGAAGATTGAAAAAATCATATCAGTTTAAAAGTAAGAATATAACAAAATAGTTTTACAAAGGAAGGCTATTGAAATATATTTTATTTACATTAGCTTGTGATCACAAGAGTAATATTCCTTAAAGCTTGGTTAAATTCTGCCAAAACAAATAATTTTTTTTTTGATCTGCCTATGAAACAAAATCTTTTGTGTGTTCACGTGGCAGCATTTCTTTTGTCCATTTGTCACTTTTGACACCCTGCTCTTTCAGAATCATTATCTTTGAATGGCCACTTTCCTTGCACTTTTTGAATATATTTCTAGTTTTATACTTTGGTTCTGATATCATATCTTTCTTATTGGTTGCTTTGTTGGTATGTGTATATGCATGTTACGCCATGTGTTGCCTGCATGTTGGCACGTGCCAAACTGGTGACAGTATTCAGTCTACGTAGCAAGCTACAGTGCACATTTCCTTTCAACATAGACATTGACACCAGTCTCGTAGAATTGACTGTAACTTGTCTACTCTTCTATTTCACATGACAGGGGCGTCTAAACTGAGTAAGTTGACCTCTTTTCTTCTCTTGCCTCTGTTATATAGAACTAGGTTAATCCTTGTAGTAGAGCACCATCTGTAGACACCAGCACCACCAAATGCCAGTCAACTGATTGCTTTCTGTGGTGTTCTGTTCCTCATACATACAATCTTATGTACACTGACATATATATATACCAGCTTTTCATTTTGTACTGCATGGTTCAATACATGGTAAACAGCCATGAAGCTGTGTCTTAAGATGACGAGGAAAAGATTAAAATAAGTCAAGTAATGTACCTTTAGTGTAATGTCAGTACATCAATATTAGTGTTAGGTAGAAAAATTCAGTTTCACAAGTAATGATGCAGTTAAATAAAATGGAAGTGTAGCAGTTGTGTATTATTACTTGTGAAACTTATGGTACATGAAACTAAAAATCTTCCCACTGTAGCTTACTTTAAAAAATACTATAACCATTTGCTCTTGTTGCTATTTCCTAACATTCTCACAGTGCCAACCCTGCCCTTAAATTAAATAAATAAATAAATAAAATCCCATCCTCTTTGTCATGTTGTGGTCATGTGATCACCCATGTGACTTGTCCCAGAATTCCCTGCATCGTCTGCTTCACTTCTAGATGTGAAGTTCTTGGAAGCATGCAGGCTCTGCTTATGAATGCTGACAATGTAGCTGGCTGTTTGCTTTTGTATTCATGGCAGGTTGATTTAATATCTGTTTTAGGTGGCAGATACAAAAGTTGGAAAAGAAGATGGTTTATACTCAATGACAACTGTTTATATTACTTTGAATACACAACAGTAAGTGTCTTTTTACTCACTGTATATTTGTTTCATTGTTCAGGGTAGTGAATTAATTCAGCAAACTATATCACTATTTTGTATGTAAGATGACGATACGTTGATAGTATGTCCTTAGTACAAGGAGAAATTGTTGTCATATCTATTCTTTATATTTGTATCAATTATTACAAGCTCTGACTTTCTAAGACATCAAAAATCCTAACAATTAAACTTCTCTCCCAGGACAAGGAGCCGAGAGGTATCATTCCTCTTGAGAATATTCAGGTCTTGGATGGGAAGCTGGACAAGAACAGACCTAACAGCTTTGAGCTCGTCTCCAACAACAACGAGATTATCAAGGCCTGTAAGACAGACTCAGAGGGCAAGGTGGTCGAAGGTGAGCTTCTGAACTGATTCTTTCTCCCCCCCCCCCTCTTCTTTCATTAAAATCGGGTTTTCAATTTTAAAATCTTGAGATTAATTTTCCCTGTGTGAAAGAGTAATGAGTCATCATGGAGTTATTACCATTCAAGAAAACATTGCAGGATTTCTTAATCACTCTATATAATCTTTATGCAGTGGTTGAACCATAGATTGTGTTATAATAAGCCCACTCTGTTTGCTTCTTTGTAAAACTGAGACCAAGAAAATCCCTGGAACGATGCAAAGTATTGGGTGTCATTTTGGTAATGTATCTTCCAGGTAAACACTCCTACTATAGAATGTCTGCAGCCACGCCAGAGGAGAAAGAAGAGTGGATGAGATGCATCAAGTAAGAAGTTTGACCTCTCAGTGATAGATACAAGTATTGTGCTGCAATGAAGAGATGTTCAGAATCTCAATAGTTTCAGATGTTTTTTTTTTTTTCCGTGTGGTGAAGTATGAAATTTAGATTATAACCATCATCCTCTGCTACAGTTTGAGGCACACCATAATGCACTGCTATTGTAAGATTTTAAATAGAAGTGGAGGTAAATAGCTAATGGCCAACTGCTAATGAAAGTGTGCATTAATTGATCTCTGCTTTATTTCAGGGCCAGCATTAACGAGCACCCGTTCTATGACATGCTGGTTGCCAGGAGGAAGAAGGCCACACACAACGTTACCAAGTAGACGCAACTCAGCGGGACTGAGAAACTCCACGTCAATGTATATAATATAATATAACTGTAGCGGGACCGAGAGACTCTGCATCAATGTATATAATATGATATAACTGTCAAATGTCAATGTAGGGTATGTAAGGACATTGTCTTCTTTATGTGTTCAGCTGAAAACTGGTGTCATGATGTTGAAAATCATGAACTTCAGGGACAAGTCAGCAAATAGAATATCTGGTCATACGAGAATGGTTTGGTATTTTTTCACATCTACAGGTTTGTCAGTCATAGATCGTGAACTCTAATAATATAGTCTGTGCTTTTGATTATGAATTCATCAAAAACATTATCTATTTTAAAATGCCCATGTAAATTTTTTGGAAGGGGGATTAATAATTGTAGTTCTCAAAATGCTGCAGTACCCAACTTATTTGGTTTGGGAAATTTAAATGAAAATCTTGATCATGGTATGCTGTCAATAGCTCCCTGTATTGGTACACATCAGTTTATGTTCAAGCCAGCAATAATCCAACATGTGAACAGAGTTCATTGGAACCCCATGGTTTCCATAATTGTAAACCCCGTAGTAAGGGGGGTCTTCAGTTATGGGATAAGATCAACTTGATGGGCCTGTTGTGGAAGGGTTTGAATACAGAAAACCCAGACATTGTAAATATTATTCAACTTGCCAAAGATTATAGTTTCTTTGTAGGATTGTATTGATATATGCCAACATTAGCATATGCACTTGAACAAGATGTTTCTGGTAACATGATGTAAATACTCAGTAGTTAATGATGTTATTTAACATTATTTCCTACAAAAAGCAGTGTAATTCAATTTTAGAAAAGTCACAGAGTCATCTATCTCTGTTGAATTATGGTGTTCTTACACTATGTCCTTTTGTTTTAAACATTGCATTCCAAGGATTGCAATAGGAATTGTACAAGAGTTGTCTGGAATTGATAGCAACAGTATGATGTAAGGAAAACACTCCAAATCTGTACAGGAGAATTGTGAGATAGCTTTCAACATGGATGCCCAGTTTAAGAGAAAACAAGTGTTTTAAACTTGAAATTTTGGAAGAGGGGTGATCATGAGTGGTACACGTTAATGATTTGGTTAATATAAAAGTTATTTGATGCAATAAGTTTTAAAGATATTAAGATTTTAGAAACAAATATTAACATGAAATTATTGAAGTTGGATATTTAAAAAACTGATAAAATTGTGACAAGGTTTGGAGGACATCAAATGAGGCAGACGTATTCAACATCAGTATTTTTCTTTTATTTTGCTAATGCAAAGCATTTAATAAAAAAATAGGTGTAGAGGGAGTGGTGATGGATGTTTGATCAAGATCAAAGTATGATTTTTTTCCACAGCACAAAATGATCTGATTTATATGGATCACAATATGTCAGGGAGAGTTTGTACTGTAACATCCCACCAGCTGCTGCACCTGATCTTGTACAGTAGAGAATGTTTATCTCGTATATATGTCAAATAAATAACATTATAGACCTGTTTTTAGTGGACCAGAGATACTCTATACCTCGGGTAAAAAAATAAATAAACCACCTATAGTAATTAATCTTTGACTTCATTGTTTTTATTCAATGCTAAGTTTCACCAATATGCCATGCAAAAATGATTTAGATTTTTTGAAAAAACTTGTGTCATAGTAAAGTTACTATTCCTCTGATTAAAATTTGAACAATGAAATAATCTTCCCAACAGTGCTCCATTAATTAAACCCCTCCTTGCCTTATATACATGGGCTGTGCAGTTATTTATGGTAAAGGTCAGATTCATTTGGCAATTATCAGTTTGCAGACGACATTTCCTTCAGGGATTTTAAGTTTAATGTGCTGATTTGATCACTAATGGAAATTTGCACTTCTTAAAATTATTTAAAATTTGTAGAGGATAATCAGATATTTTAATCTAAATGATTATATTTTTCCTTTGAAAAGCCTGTATTTTATATATGTAAGAGAAGCAGCTTTCAAGCAGTCAAGAGTCTATCCAACAAATATATTCCTGCCTTTATCAACAATAGTAACATTCACCATTGACTTGTTTGATGTCAGAAGCTCTGCAGACATTGTCTCTCTTGCATACACCTGGAAAAAAACTTATGTGTATGGAAATATGTCCAAATTCATTTATGTATATAGATTTCTGGTAAATTATTTTAAAAAAACTGAGAGAAATGTGTGTTCTTTAACAGCCTTGAAAACCAAAACCAAACCATAAATACATGCACTACTTACATAGAAGGAGATGTTGCCATCCAAGTTGCTGAGGTCACTGCTGACTCTGATGACCCCAGATGAGGCATCTATAGTAAACCTGCCTTTAGGGTCATCCAATACATACTCTAGCACTGCATTTACACCCTAACAATAACAGGAGAAAAAGGTGCTTGTAAAGTAGTTCAATATTTCTTATAATATAAGATTTATCATATATTTGCATGTAAAAAAAAAAATGAAAAAAAATTGCATTATTTACTGGAAGTCAATTTAAACAGAATCCTATAAACTGAAATAAGATGAGCTTTCCTTATTTTATATACATTTAGCTACAAATTATTAGTATCGAGGAATTTTGAAAAATATGTATTTTCAAGAACTGATCTTACAGCATCAGGGTCCACTGCTCGGACAGTGGTCAGATATGTTCCCATGGCAACATTCCTAGGGACTGCAACATTGTATACAGCCTGGGTCATTGCTGGTTTGTTGTCATTGGTATCCACGACAGTAACAACAACAGTAGCAAGAGCTGTTCTTGTTCTGGGGGCATCTGCTTGATATGCCTGACAATGTGGGACAAATAATTAGAACTTATGAACAATTTTCATCACTTGCTGAATATGGAGAACAGTCCCTGCTCAGTTAATTTATAAAGTGACAGAGTAATTGTCAGTTACTGTTATCTTCATCTGAGCTGAAGTCTACTAGGAGTTTTAACACTCTGTAGTAGCATACTGCAATTATCTACCTTATCGCCTTTACATAAATCTAAGCCAAATCAGACACAAATAATTATCACAAACTCTGACCAATGAATTTGTAACGAGAACCTAATTACTTAAATGGGACATATGTCACCAGATCTTTTTACACCTGAAAATATATACCCATACCTTGACTGTGAGGACCACTGTAGCTTGCAGCTCTCTATCCAGAGATTTGATGACCTGCAGCTGTCCAGTTTTTCCATTGATAGTGAAGTGGTCTGCTGCAGAGGCTGGTTGAGCTGACAGAGAACTGTGGTTATACTGAGTGTATTCATGACAGGGGCGGGGAGTGGTCTGCTATACAGGCTAGGTAAGCTGACAGAGAATTGGTATATACATATTACAGAGGGCAGGGGTGGGTGGGAGTGAAGTGGTCTACAGCAGAGGCTGGGTGAGCTGACAGAGAATGTGGTTATACTGAGCATGAACCTAATTAGAGAAGGACATGAAACGCTTAGCTAGATCAAAGGATAATCGGCTTAACGTGAGCTCTTCGCGAAACCATGTGCGTTCGGATCACGTGACCTCCCGTACAGGTAGCGAGCATATCGCAGTTGTCGATGACTTTTTGTGTCATTTGGGCAGGTAGTTCGCGATAACGCGAGTCAATCCTTCGGGTGAATGGGACAATAAACTTATAGAGATTAAGTATAAGTACAATTTGTTCTGTCAATTTGAAAACTTAGTGAGAATTTGATGTTTGTTCATGGAGGAATTCAAAATGCCCTATGTGGTAAAGGCAATCTTGTTTGTTGCCGTAAAATTAGCATTCAAAATTGTACAACTGTAGTGTAGTGTACTTGTTTTCAGCTATGAACCGATTGGAAAATATTTCTAGTGTCAAACTTTTCTCTCTATGTGAGAAATTAGCCTGAGACGCGGCAATAATGAAACCTTCAATCGTGTCTTGAATTAAAATGACGCAATTCCTCTCCGATTTATTCAACTCGCTGACATCATTTTGGGTCTGGTATTTTTTACGTACCGTTTAGATTAAAGTGGCATTTACACTGCTGTGTACTATATGTATAGGTTTATGTTACTTGCTCATGTGAGCCCGAATTATATAATGATAATTAATATTTTTAACTTTCAATATGGGCTCTCGTTGCAATAGGGCAACACACACGCATTCTTGACGCACAAAAACGAACCTGGGGGCCTTTTAATATTCTTTTATCAAAGTTGACATTAACACTGCTCTAAAGTATATATAATTTTACACATTACCGGCTATAGTCTGCTCCAGTCTGAGAATGAAAATTATTATTTTTTTAACTTTCAATATGGGCTCTCATTGCAATATGGCACCACACACGCATTCGTTACGCACAAAAATGCACTGGTGGGCCTTTTAATATTCTTTTATCAAAGTTGACATTAACATTGCTTTGATATATAAATATATTTACACATTACCCATTTACCGGCTATAGTCTGCTCCAGTCTGAGAATGATAATTATTATTTTTTTAACTTTCAATATGGGCTGTCATTGCAATACGGCACCACACACACATTCGTTACGCACAAAAACGCACCTGTGGGCCTTTTAATATTCTTTTATCAAAGTTGACATTAACACTGCTCTGAAGTATATATATATTAACACATTACCGGCGATGGTCTGCTCCAGTTTGAGAATGATAATTAATGATTTTTCATTTTTAAATTGGAGTCCCTAAACAGCATAGAGACGATGGACAAGCATCCTCACTGGTCTTTTAATTAAAGTATAAATGTTGACGTGTACACATGCAAACTTCAAGATTATATTTACTTGGGTAACAGTCATAAAAGTGGATCGCGATCACATTTGTGATTAAAGTCTCACCTCTGTAATTGGCTTGCTACATTGCATTATCTTGTTATCAGATGCATTTAATTTGGATGGCACCTACCTGGCTTTATTAGTCAACATGCTTTTAAACAAGTTATATATCAGCTTGACATATATCAATACAATCTTGGGAACGATAACAAGTATAGACAAAGGCCATAGCCCGTTTTAATGAGGTAACAACAGAAGAAACAAATTTCCAACTGTTGGAGCAAGTCTGTGTGCTCGCAACTGCAAGATGGCGGCAATGCTGTATCATAGCAACCACGAGGGACTGCGAGAAATTGCGTTATCAATGCAGAGAAACAATAGAAATGCATTGAAGCAGAGCGCGCGCTACCTTGATAATAAGCTGTTCAGACGCCCGTGGAGCTATCAAAACAGATTATGTGAGNGACGTGTACACATGCAAACTTCAAGATTATATTTACTTGGGTAACAGTCATAAAAGTGGATCGCGATCACATTTGTGATTAAAGTCTCACCTCTGTAATTGGCTTGCTACATTGCATTATCTTGTTATCAGATGCATTTAATTTGGATGGCACCTACCTGGCTTTATTAGTCAACATGCTTTTAAACAAGTTATATATCAGCTCGACATATATCAATACAATCTTGGGAACAATAACAAGTATAGACAAAGGCCAGAGCCCGTTTTAATGAGGTAACAACAGAAGAAACTGAAAACCCGAAACAAATTTCCAACTGTTGGAGCAAGTCTGTGTGCTCGCAACTGCAAGATGGCGGCAATGCTGTATCATAGCAACCACGAGGGACTGCGAGAAATTGCGTTATCAATGCAGAGAAACAATAGAAATGCATTGAAGCAGAGCGCGCGCTACCTTGATAATAAGCTGTTCAGACGCCCGTGGAGCTATCAAAACAGATTATGTGAGACAATGGGCGAATGTTTACCCGAACGCACATAGCTTCAAAGGAAGATGCCGCGTTTCACGTCCTTCTGTTTATTATGTCCATGTACTGAGTATATACATATGACAGAAGGGGGGGGGGGGGGGGAGAGGAGTGAAGAAGTCTGTTAATAATATATATCCAATATAATCTTAAACATAAATGATATATTTCTTATATCAACTTACAAGATCCCAGTCTGTATAGTACTGTGGCATTGATCCCCAAATCTTGGTCATAGGCTTTTATTGGACCTGGTTGAATACGGGACTCAGTGGCTGCACACTTACTCTCCTGGGGGAGAAATATCCTCTTAAATACAACTGACATTTGTCTGTCTGATAATGCCTAAAATATATATTATTTTAAGATTGAAATATATAGGCATCTATGTTGAAAATTACAAAATTAAAAAATAAACCATACATATAATATTTCTTTACCAAAAATATCATCAGAAATAGCACTTACGTAGTTAACCTACAGCTTAATTGGTAGATACCTTAGTATTTCAATCAACAGAATAATCCCAAGACTACCATAAAAACTGTACATGATTTAAGAGAGTGAAAACTATAGTCTTTAGAAAACAGTTGCTTTAGTACAAGAGATGTCAGAACTAAAAATAAATAAATAAATGAATAAATTAGCTAATAAAAGAAGATTACAGCATCAAGATTACAGCTTAACCATATATAACAGAACTCACATTTTCTAACACTGTCACCTTATAGAGATCTGCCTCAAAGGCTGGGGATAAGTCATCTTCATCAACAACTTGGATAATGACTTGGGCCCTTGCTGTTAGTGGTGGTATACCATTATCCTACATATGATTACTTTTATATATATCATTCTTTAAATAATTCAAAACACACTGAGTTTATACTGACATAAATAAAACAGGTATGTAATTCAACTCCTCTTTCAATGACAATTACCTCTGAAATAATCGGAATAATTGTCAATAAATATATATATACATATATAATTTCAAATATTTCAAATTTTTTATCTTTAAAAAAGGGACATTTAGTAAAATATTCTCTGGAGGCAACAGAATAGTGGAAATATTAAAAGACATAAAAGCTTACATAAGCCTCAACTTGGAGGGTGAAAACCCTTGGTCCATTGTCATAATCCAGTTGTCTAGAGAGAACCAAGTTTCCATCAGCAGCAGCCCCACCTATTCTAAAATAACCAACTCCTCCACCCTGAAACATGAGAACCACACTTAGCATCATATTTATTAGCTGTAAAAATAAATTATAAAATAGATCATTTATGTCATTAAAGAAATGAAGTATTTGTTTTCCTTACCACTATATTGTACTTGCCAATGGAGCCTGTGGCGTCAGAATCATATACTTTGTCTTTAAAGCTGAAGATTAGGGTATGAAGGAACAGAGACTGTAATTTAAAAAGAAAAACAATTAATTTGAAAATGATGCCATATTTTGCTTGAAATACTAAATACAATATATGATGCACAATTAAAAGATAAGTACAGGAAAAGGAAAACATTTGTGATATAACTGGTGTATGTTTAGTTCAGTTTCTGTGACATGTAAAGAACAAGATATTCTCTTTATGTGCAGTAACAGATAACCATTTGTTAAATCACAGCTTTTTATATAGATAAAATCAGGACAAAAATGCAATCAGTTACCTCAGAAACATTCACATAGTAGACTGGAGCTGTAAACACAGGTGTATTGTCATTCACATCTTCTACCATCAGCCTAATATCTACTGACTACAACAAAAACAGTGCAATGGAGAACCAGACAATAAACACATTTGATGATATTATATATGTTTCAAGTTTACAAATTCCCAATTAAGAAAGGAATTTGTATCCTGATTAAACACATCTTTACCAATTTTTAATCAGTCATAGACGCAATTTATATTTCATACACACACTGCATATATCAAATGAAAAAAATATATTTACCCCTTGTCTTACACTGCCAGCCATTTTATATCTACAAACCATGCTATATGCCTGTAACCTCTACAATAAACCAAAAATTATATATATATATATATATGTATATGTTATTATTTAAATAATTCAAACACACTGATCTGATATAAATAACTATAAGAATGACAAAACAAAACTTAATTTCAGATACATTTGCTTTATGAAAATACAAAGCTTTAAAAAGTGCTTTCAACATTATGCTCATATCATTACAATGTAGTATTTCCACTTACCTCCATGGACTCAGCATCCAAGTGTTTTACAAGTATGATAGTCTGATTCTTGGTGTCTAACTTGACATACCCATTAGCCAGCTCCAGTCTCTCCCATACCACATCAGTGACACCAGGGATGGAGACGTTGGTTAAAGTCATAACAACAGTGCCTGGGGCAGTGTTTTCAACTACCCTTACCACAACAGGGATGTCTCCACAGACAGTTTGTATTAGTTGACCATCTACAACAAAGATATAATGATAATAAAATGCTATCAGGACTAAAAGATGCTAACAGTCAAGCTGGCTCTACCACAGCTGAACTCATCTCCTGCTTCCTCAATATTTAACTTTCAGCTGAATACAGCCACTTTTAGATCTTCACAATTGATATGCATTACAGATTTACAAAATTTAATGACAACTTTAATTTGGTCTACCACATATGAATTGTGCCACAGAGTCCAAGGTTTTGACAAATTTAGGAAAGCAATTTTATTATTAAATTATTATTTAAGGAAACATCCTTCACCTAAACAGGCTTTTGACATGGAAATAACATTCTAAACCATCTAAACAATTTTTAAAAGTGAAACCTTTATTATTATTATCATCATTATCCATCACATCAAAAAAACAAGTCCACTTTCAGATGAATGCACACTTTAAAATAAAAATGAAGCTTCTTTTAAGACTTATAGATAGTACCTGAATTTCTCACTAAAATACAGGTTATCAACCAAAAAAGCAAGGTCTTCTGAACCTCCTTTGACACCATTTTGGATCCTCTCACAGAGGCACAAGCAACTTTATCTGTAGTTTTAAAAGACAGCATAGGTACATTCCAATTCAAAGTCCAGGTTGTTCTGTCCTCACCCAGAGACCCCAGATATGATAAGATGTCTTGACTTCCTTCTGGTACAAAAACAGGGTGTCCTAACACTGGACAAGTAAACAGAGCTGATACAGCAGCACAAGCTTTGATGATATGGAGACAAAATAGTCTAGAGAGCCTGCAAATGTATTCATATCATTTAGTGCTCAATAAACTTCTTCTTATTATTAATTAAACCAGGTTACCACAGGGCTGGTAGCAGACATGATACACAGTTTAAGGTCTGTGTTGGAGAATGTTCTGGCACTATCACTTTGTGTGGATTGGCTATATAGATACTGGGGGTATTTGTCATAGCTTCTGCTTTTGGGACAGTATTTTGGGTCTAAGATTGATACGTGTGATAAACATTTTAGAAATATTCATTTTCAAACTCAATATCTCAAAGGATGACAAACTTCAATTAACTTATCTTTCTTGTTAGCAAATATGACATTTCAGATATTGCAGCTCATTTGAAATAATTTTCCAATCTGTAAGGACTGTACACAGCAATCTTGGGACAATTATAAGACATTGAGGATATTTATATTACTCCCCAAAACCCATTAAATCTACAACAAGCAGTATGATGCTTGATGGATATATAGGTTTGTTCATTAATTCTTCTCCAAGCACTTGTTACTGATATGACAGGGTGTTGAGAATACAGAATAACAAAACCAAGTCAGAATTACTGATTCACATTGTATTTCATTAACCATAAATATAGTCATATGTACATGTACTTTGTCAATCCACATGAAGAATTGATACTGGAAAGACATGAAATCATGCTCCCCCTAACACCTCACAGCAACTCACTTGAGAAATAAAACAAAATTATCACTGCACCCAACTTCAGAGTCCTCAGTTTAAAACTGCTGAAAAGGGTTATTCTCATTTTGTAACATGCTTATATATATATATATATATATATATATATATATATATATATATATATATATATCATTATTGCAACATATTCATATGGTTTATAATTAAATAATAATAGATTAATACAGTTTATAAAACAGTCATGGATTTTTTACATGGTTTGCTTAACATACAGTGGATACATGGTTGCCTGGCATGCTCAACCTGAAAATCATCATATTATTTTACAGTGGATACAAATGGTTGGCTGGCATTCTCAACCTGAAAATCATCTCATTTTCTCACTGGATACATTTGTGGTTGGCATACTCAAACTGAGAACCAATCATCTCATTTTACAGTAGATACAAATGGTTGACTGGCATACCCAACCTGGAAACCAACCATCTCATTTTCTCACTGCTTACAATTGGTTGACTGGCATACCCAACCCGAGAACCAACCATCTAATTTTTCTTAGGATGGCAGTCCTACACTATCCATTATCCTGCAAGTCATGAAATATCCATTTTTATTACAAAATGAAGATGTCCTTTATCCTTTAAGTTATTTAAAGACAAAGGATCTCTTTTATACTTAAAAAACTTATTATAAACAAAGAATATCCTTTCTTTATCCACACTCATTATGATAACACAATATCCACTATCCTTGGCTCTTTCTTTATCCACACTCATTATGATAATTCAATATCCACTATCCTTGGCTCTTTCTTTATCCACACTCATTATGATAACACAATATCCACTATCCTCGGCTCTTTCTTTATCCACACTCATTATGATAACACAATATCCACTATCCTCGGCTCTTTCTTTATCCACACTCATTATGATAACACAATATCCACTATCCTCTGCTCTTTCTGGACATTGAGATCCCTGTTCCTGATGGAGTATACATTGTCTGAGAACACTGGTAAGTAACATTGCACAGTTCAGTAATTGTGGTGTCTGCTGTAATGATGGTTGCTATGACGACGGTCATGACCTCTGTGGTGAAAATGGTTGGAGTGGTGATAGCGATCCTCAAATCTCTCTCGGCCTTTGCTCTGGGAAAAGCAATAACACAATTTAAGAAAGGAGGTAGGGTAAAGAGATAATGTCACCCTATACTGTAGAAAATAGAGATAATGTCACCTATACTGCAGAATATAGAGATGATGTCACCTATACTGCAGAATATAGAGATGATGTCACCTATACTGCAGAATATAGAGATAATGTCACCTATACTGTAGAATATAGAGATAATGTCACCTATACTGTAGAATATAGAGAGAATGTCACCTATACTGTAGAATATAGAGAGAATGTCACCTATACTGTAGAATATAGAGATAATCACAGCTTACATTATTTTTATGCCAGTTCTTCATGTCCTGATGTCTCTGGAATGGATTGTCTCCATACCCCACTGCATCATGCTCAGAGTGACGGCGACGGACTTTCTTAGCCTGAAATGATCAAATTGTTACTCCATAAGTTTTGCTACAATTTTATCTGAATGAAATGGCTACCCTTTTCAATACCTTATTACATGTGACTTAAAAATACTCCATTCTCCCCAATGAAATTTCTTTTCAAGTCAAACAAACTAGTGTTCTGATGATGCACAAGTATCCACAACTGGGGTGGCGCTAGTAATTTTCTTTGCTTAGCCAAATCACCACTTTTTTTTGTCAATTTGTTATCCAAATTGTTGTAATTTGACTAAAACAAGTTAAATCAACCCCTTTCTGTTTAGCCAATTTGCATCAGTTTTAGCATTTGGCTAAAATGGCAAGTGTTACTGCTACCACAGCATTAAAACACGACAACTTCAAGCAGGATGTATTTTGTCCTCTCTCACCTTTCCTCTGTCAATGTCTTCATCATAGTCTTCTGACCAGCGCCGTTTCTTCTCTCTCTGGCGTTCTTTTTCATCCTCCTCATCTACATGACTGCGACCTCCCTCCCACGAGGACACTGTTCAAAGGAAAGATCACGGAATCACATATACTTCTACACAGGACAACAGTTCACAAAGTGCCTGATATAAAGATTAACATGCATCTCTCCTACACAACCTCAACATTAAACCAATATAAAACTTAATACAGCTAGTTGATTTTTACAGATTCACCTTCATCATAAAAGTTTTAACTTGTGGAGAGCATAACTGTAACAGTTTTCAAACTTCATTTGAAGAGAACAGTTTAGTCCACCAAGCCCCCACTTTCTGATGCTAAAATTTAGACGTGTTCTATAACATAGGTCACCTACCCGTGTTCCCATAGCCATGCCGTGAACTTTTCTCCAGCTGCTCAGCAACACTGGGTTTTCTTGTGCCATCCCAGGATGCACTGGTTTTGGCGGTGGCCGAGGTGTCACTCTGAGTATGTCTGACATAGCCGTCTTTCACATCCTTGTCCCAATTATATACAGGAGCTAAGAAAACAGTACCATATAATTATTCTTAGATCAACAGATGCATTTTTGTAAATGTCCTATTATAAATGAAGACAAAATTCAAAAACAAAGTTACGGTGAGATGAGCAAACAAAAAATGTCCACATTTTACAAATCATTGAAGGTCAAGTTTACTCAAATAAAAGCCTAACAGTATAGCTATTATAAACCCACCTTGAGTCTCTCTGCTGACTGTTCCCAGAGAGTCCTTAGTCTTCTCCACCCATCTGATCTCAAAGTCCTCCTTGATCTTCCTGGACAACTTCCTGTCCCTGTCGGAGCTCTCACTGCTGGACGGCCTCTTTCTGTCCCTGTCGGAGCTCTCACTGCTAGACTGCCTTTTCCTCTTGGAGCTGTGACCATTAGTGTCAGCGTGAGATCTGACTTTGGCTGTGTGTTCATCACCACTGGACAGCAAAAGGTCTCTCTCTTCATCCGATCCACTGTCTTTCCTCTTCTTTTTCTTCTTCTTGTGTTTTTTCTTGGACTCTGACTTGTGACCCAGTTTCTTCTCCATGGATTCCTTGTCTTTATCTTTGTTTTTGTGCTTTTTGTGTTTCTTGTGTTTTTTGTGTTTCTTTCCAGAGGATGAGGAGAAGTCAGAGTCATTGCAGTTGTTATTGTTATTTCTGTAACCATTCAACAGTGGCTCAGTGTCCGGCACACAAACCCTGTGGTCATCCTCAATGTCATGCGACTCTCTGACCTTGTGACCCGTGACCTTGACCTTATGACCTTCAGCAGGTGCATGGCTGTTCAGAAAAGATGAGGCAGTTTCTCCACTCTTTGATATTTCTGAAACAGGAGAAGCAACAATCCTGCTTTCCTTTGACGTCTTCTCTGATTTTCCAAGTTGCTTGGGGTAAGTTTTAGAGGATGAATCAGCAGTTTTTACTCCTTCACTGGACTCCTCTTTAATCTCCATTTTGACTATCCAGCCAGGTTGTATGTCATGGCTGTGGCGCCAGGTGTGGTTGTTTTCGCTGACATGCCACTCTGTTGTAGAGTTGACACTGGTGTTACTGGACTCGGAGGCTAAAGAAGGCGAGATGGCAGCAGTGGAGTCATTGAGATGCCATGCTGTAGTGGCCTTGACCTTGTGACTAGCTGGACTCATCACTAGAGACAGGTGACCACTGTCACTGAGGGACCTCTTCAGTGGACTACCATTGGGGACCTTGATATCTGCTGCCGTGTTCACACTGGAGTTAGGCCGTTCCGAGTTCTTGGTGTCTCTGTGAGAAGACACAGGGAGCAGAGACTTAGAAGAGCCAGGGACAGTCACAGTGGCAGGCAAATCTGCTCCTAAGCTTGTCTTGGTCCCTTTATCATCCACACTGACATCTTTTCCTGAATTGTTGGACCCTCCTTGTTCCCCCTCTCCTCTTTTCTTCTTCATCTTGCTGTCCTGATCTGATGAGGAGTCGGAGGAATCTCCCTCATATGGGACTAACTTTGAGTTGCCACAGCTATGGGAGGATGATCTCTCTTCTGTGTAAGATTTCCCATTTTTGATGTGCATCACAATCCTGGGTTTGCTCTGTTCTTGCACTGGTGCTCCCCTCTGTGGGATCTTTATTCCAAAGGATATTTTATTCCTGTTTGTTGGCAGTGGGGAGGTGATGTTCTGGGTGCCATGTTTGTTACTGCTGGCTGGTATTGTGGCTGGTGATCTGGGAACTGGAGAACCCATCTCTTTACTGCCATGATCTGAATACAATACACAAAGTATTAAATACAGACCCATAGGGACACATTAAGATCCACTGGTAAATATCCTGAGTGGCTGTTCTATTTATCTTGACAAAGTTGTCTTAATAAGTCTAAAATAGAGCTTGACTAGCACATTAAAATTTTTGAAGGGCACCCTCCCCCCTCCCAACTTCTTGTGAACATTTCAATTCTTCAACGTGAATTAAAAGCAAGCCATACACAGTGTAGATTAAATGAATTTCACCAATACCTGCCCCCCCCCCATTAAAATAAAGTAAACAGAATAACTTTCAATATTTATGGTAAACAATTTAATCAGCAATATAACAAATTCTTCTTCATATATTAATATATACCTGTGTTTCCATTCACCTTGACCTGATTAAACTTTCCTTGTAGACCAGTGGGCAGCTGTGGACCTATGGGGGCCTAGGGTGAAAACAAATCAATAATTATATCCTGTGTCTCAAAATACATCAAAAATCCACAGCTCTGAAAAATCCAGGTTACCGGCAGACGACTGTCAGTGGGAAACATCAACATGCTAGTGGTGATTTATCTGATAATGAAGCCACTGCTCTTAGACCTTACATTCTTAAGGTGTGGACCTTTTCAAAAGACAGAGTAACTGGTGTTCTAAGTGTTTGAGACATACAGCTCTTGGCAGCAAGGTTTTAGCAAAAGGTCATGTGTGCTATGCATAAACTAAAATAATTACAAAATATATCAGCATTCATTCTGAAGATTACCTCTGTAATATACAATAATAAAAGAATGATAATGATGGCAAAACACTTGCTGAACATTACTCCTGGTCTTACCTTGCTTGTCATTCCCAGCTTTTTAGCAGCCTTGTCACATCTGATATAAAACAACAGGTAGGCTTCTGAACTCATCACACGACTCAGACTAGTTTGTGACACCTGAAAGAAAGACAGTACACATACATTAAGAGTTTTAGGTGACAAGCCCATCATAAAAAAAAAATTCAAAGTTTTGATATTTCTCTCCTAATATCAGCAAAAATTTTACCCTTTCGATTTACTCAAATCACTTTATCCAAAGCAACTTTTAAATATGGATTTGACTTGCATTTATCCCGCACAAAATTCACTGTCATTCTAATCTTTTTGTTTAATTCTATTTTTAACCCCCACAAAAAAATGCAATTCCTAAGTTATTCAAATGGCACATATGAGTAATTTCATTTTATTTGTTTATTCACTTAAGTCAAACAAATGAAATATAGAAGCTGATCGTAGGTGTTACCAAGTTTATCTTACCATAGAATCATTCATGCAGTACCATGTCTGGTTGCTACCGCGGACATAGCAGTAGTAATGACCTGAGGTACAGGCGAGTCCAGAGTGTACCAAGACAGCATACAACTGATACATCACAGGGTCACCCTAGAACATAATGGATAGAAATACAAGTGATAACAGTAGTAATGACCTGAGGTACAGGCGAGTCCAGAGTGTACCAAGACAGCATACAACTGATACATCACAGGGTCACCCTAGAACATAATGGATAGAAATACAAGTGATAACAGTAGTAATGACCTGAGGTACAGGCGAGTCCAGAGTGTACCAAGACAGCATACAACTGATACATCACAGGGTCACCCTAGAACATAATGGATAGAAATACAAGTGATAACAGTAGTAATGACCTGAGGTACAGGCGAGTCCAGAGTGTACCAAGACAGCATACAACTGATACATCACAGGGTCACCCTAGAACACAATGGAGAGAAATACAAGTGATAACAGTAGTAATGACCTGAGGTACAGGCGAGTCCAGAGTGTACAAAGATCCAAGCAAACCTTGTAAGAAAAGTTTGAGTAATGTCACATGTTGTTCTTCAAGTTTATTCATAATTTAACATAAAAATATCATATTTAACAGCTTTTACAGAAAATAATTTTAAAATAATTAGTACAGTGGAAAGAAAATTTTTTATTTTGTACCTGTTTCTGACTCATGTAAGGCCTCAAGTTCATCTTCTCTGCAAACTGAATATGTCGTGTAATCTTCCCCCCAAAACACCGGTTGTAATCAAATCTGAAATATATATATTGATGTTGTCAAATAATCAGACATCGTTCATTGCTGACTTTGTAAGAAAATCTAAAATATAGCTGATAATGAAAATAATCAAGCACAGTTAAATGATGACTTTTTAACTGAAGAAATAGCAGTTTTTCAACTTTGTGAAAAAAAAAACATACTGATTCTAATCTCTCACCTTTTCAACTGGAGGGTAAGTACATTGGGGGGGACATGGATTGTGAATCTCTTCTGGGCAGGTACTTTTTGCTTGCACCTACAAATGAAAGATGGAAAATGCTGAAATCACTGACAAAGAAAAAAAAAAAAGGTTCAAATCAAGGGAAAAAATAGTTACCAAAGTAACAACAGGGAGACCGAAATTACTTCATAAATGTTGACACAAGTCTATGTCAGTCTACTTGACACATAATATATCTAACATATTTTATAACTACTTTCCCAATTGCACAGTGTCATTGCATGGAATGAAACTTACTTAGTACACAGATATGCATTATCACTCTCCAGTGTCTCTGGCTGAATATAGCGGTCCAATGCTTTCTGGACTGTGGGAACACCCTGATGACAAAAATCAAATTTCATAGTAAATAAAAAAATCTTCGCCATGGCTCACTAAATTGAACACATAAAGTTACACTCACAATCAACATGAAATAATTAATTTTTTCAATATCTAAACAAGTTATTTCTTTATATTGAATTTAACAGACAAGTTATATATAACAGTGTTCATGTAAAAATCTTAAATTTATCTCTTATTCAAAACAAATACCTTGATATCAAGACTTATGTCCATGGCAGGATCATATGTGTCTGACTTTTCCTTACAGCGTAGGCATTGCACTGAAAAGTAGATGTAGTATTACAAAGAGTTGTTAAAAATTTTAAAAAAGCGTTTTGGCTAAATAACGCAAGGAAAGAGAGAGAAATATGCTTTTCATCTCTGATAACAGAATCTCATTTTCTTTTTACCGTTTATAGTTAAAATACCTACTAAATACAGAACAATGAAGAGTTCTTACCTTGACTTCTTAGCATGCAACCAAATATCTGGTTTACAACAGTGGTCTCCTTGCTGAATCTATCAAGTCTTGAAAAATAAGATTTTCATTCTCATCTTAGTATATCAAGACACCAACAATATTAATCAGAATATCTTCACATAACAATATTACTTTAACATATTGATATTTCTATTACATACTGATGTCATATTTAAAAAACACAAGCAACTTGCACATTCTTTTTTTAATAAAACAAAAGCAACAAAACATGCACCATACACTGAAGCTCATATAATTTTTAATTACTTTGTGTATCCATTGAGGCAAGATTTCTGCATTCCGTCTATCACATATCTGAGGAATTCGTGAGAATCCTCCTGTCTTCCCCAGTGCATGTGCTTGGCTATGACTGAAACAAAGGATAGCTGACTTTTAGGTTTAGCTGACTTTTATGCTTAGTTTTTGCTCAAGCTTACACCACCGAAACAAAGTATAATTGACTTTAGGCTTGGTTCATACTCAAACACACATGACTGAAACTTTCAAACTTTGTTCATACTCACACACAAAATATTTTTCATGAGTGTACCATGCAGATGAAACAAGTATCTATTATATGGCACCATCCACCAGTGAAAACTCACATTTAATCTTCTGTATGATGGTCTGTGGTCGTATTGTTCCTCCAGAGTTGTCAAAACAGCGCCGCACATGTCTCTGGAACTCACACATCAGACAGAAACCAACAATTTTACCTGGGAAAATAATATAAATACCATCAAAACTGAGTAAAGATAGATATGATCATGGCATTGTCTTATTGAGAGCTGAATAACTATACAGAGTCGATTGTATATTTGGACTGGATGATAGAAATTAGATAATGTTGATAAGCAGCTTCATACAGAAGCCCCCCAAATCAACATCCCAATTTGAAGACACAGGCTGGGGTAGCGCTAGCAATTTTTTTTGCTTAGCCAAATCACCACATTTTTGTCAATTTGTTATCACAATGGTTATAATTTGGCTAAAACAAGTCAAATCAAGCCCTTTTTCTTTAGGCAATTTAAGTCAGTTTTAGCATTTGGCTAAATTTGCGAGTGTTAGCGCTACCCCAGACAGGGTGTTGACTTAAAGACAGTGACAGTATGCAGACCAGTACTGATCAAACCAGAGAATTTGTGCACAGAAGGTCCTGTCAGCATATTGTTGTTTCAGCCAAACATGACAAATCGGCAAAATATTTTGAAATCTTTCCATCATAGAGCAACTGGAAAGCAGTACAAATATGAACTAAAGAAATAACATGGGTTTATACACCTTTGTTAGAACAGAGTCAATGATATCAACATATCAATGTACTTACATGTCTGTTCATGTTCTCCTGATATCAGAAAGTTGGACAGAGGAGGAGTATATGTCAATGTACTTACATGTCTGTTCATGTTCTCCTGATATCAGAAAGTTGGCCAGAGGAGGAGTATATGTGAGACACTGCAGTGTTGAGTTCAGGAAGCATGTGTTTCCCAGGTTGTGCAGTCCCGCCCCTATCTTGCGGACTCCGTTCCAGTCCAGTTTGACTTTCTCAGGTGGGTAGAGGACAACCTTAGGAACTGGGGCACTGTTGTTGTTATCGTCACTACCATTCCTGGCACTCATTTTACTGCTGCTGGCATCTGAGATAGAACAATAACACTGAACTAGTTTTTATTATTTCACATATCCTGCATGAAACAATGATCTTCAAATAAAACAAAGAATTCTGGTTGTAAGCTTAAAACTTTATTTTTTTAAAAATTATCTACACATGCTTTTAAAGTCACCAATGCCAGGTACTGGTATATGTCAATAATATTGATTTTCATTGCAAATGAACACCTTGATCATATATGTATAATAAAAACAACATTAAAACAAACTAAATTACTGCAACCCTGCAGATATAAATACTAAAAAATTACATTTTTTTAGCCCACTGTTTTAATTCCAAAAGCAACACTTACTGCTACTGTGACTACCATTTGTGTTTTCAGATGATTTCTGACTTGGATTCAGCTTAATATACTTGTTCTTTAACAGGTCCAGTTGCATGGAATGTGGCTTACTTGCAGGTTTAAAGTCTATCTTATGTAAAACCACCTGTACTGAGGAAGCTGCAAGCTTGTCCTTGATGCTGGTCTCCCTAGTACTCAGTGAGGAACGCAGACTCTCCTCTATCTGAGAGACTGGGTCCTCCACGGAATTAGCTGGCATTTGGAGTAACATTCACTGTAGAAAATATTTTCTGAAAATATCAAATAAATGTGAAGGGCTGAATTACTGAGGAATTTTTTTACCCAAAAGTTACACCCTTCAGCAAATTATATTTATAAAAATAACTGTACTTTTCAAAAACTGTCAGCTTAAGAGATATGATTTTTTTAATCAGCACTGCAGATTTTAACCAAAAATGCATTTCAGCAAATCATTCCATGGGATCACAAGGAACTATACTAATGACTATCTCTTCAATAGTAAAAAAATTATCAAAATAGTCTATGTACATAATTTTATAACCACAAAATTATATTTCTATATAGTATTTGTGGTGCTTTTACAGCACAGAATAGAACTATAGAGAAGCCTGCTGTTTGATGTTATTGACACCACCAATAGGAATGGACTTATAAATTTACAAAAAATANGTACAGACACATCTGTGTCTGTACATAAAAAAATTACATTTTTTTAGCCCACTGTTTTAATTCCAAAAGCAACACTTACTGCTACTGTGACTACCATTTGTGTTTTCAGATGATTTCTGACTTGGATTCAGCTTAATATACTTGTTCTTTAACAGGTCCAGTTGCATGGAATGTGGCTTACTTGCAGGTTTAAAGTCTATCTTATGTAAAACCACCTGTACTGAGGAAGCTGCTAGCTTGTCCTTGATGCTGGTCTCCCTAGTACTCAGTGAGGAACGCAGACTCTCCTCTATCTGAGAGACTGGGTCCTCCACGGAATTAGCTGGCATTTGGAGTAACATTCACTGTAGAAAATATTTTCTGAAAATATCAAATAAATGTGAAGGGCTGAATTACTGAGGAATTTTTTTACCCAAAAGTTACACCCTTCAGCAAATTATATTTATAAAAATAACTGTACTTTTCAAAAACTGTCAGCTTAAGAGATATGATTTTTTTAATCAGCACTGCAGATTTTAACCAAAAATGCATTTCAGCAAATCATTCCATGGGATCACAAGGAACTATACTAATGACTATCTCTTCAATAGTAAAAAAATTATCAAAATAGTCTATGTACATAATTTTATAACCACAAAATTATATTTCTATATAGTATTTGTGGTGCTTTTACAGCACAGAATAGAATTATAGAGTAGCCTGCTGTTTGATGTTATTGACACCACCAATAGGAATGGACTTATAAATTTACAAAAAATATTAATTAAATTCTAGAAAAGATATAGTTTCTGTAAAATTCACAATTTTCCCCACTGAAAAGATCTAGCATTTACTGTAACTTCTGAAAATTCACCATACTTTACAAAGTTGCTAGATGGAAAGTAGAAGATATTCACTCTATTTATTCCATTTTTTTTAAAATATTATATTTATCCAAAGACAAACTTCATCTTTTTCAAGTTGGTCAGAAATGGCATTTAGTGAAGTAAAGTGGCCTGAAAATGTATGTGATTATGGAATATTTGATTACTTGGATGGTTGCCACTTAGCGCGACACTCAACAAAAAATTTAAGTTCTAAGCAAACAGTTCAAAATAATATCTTGTATGGATATTTATATGTGTTACTTTTGAAACAATGTGCAGTAAAATACAGATCACAAAAATATGGCAGACTGACCAAAGAAGTCAAGTCAACAGCGCAGGGTGTTACCATGAAAATACTTCATGGAACTTTTTTGTTGTACTAGGTTTTCAGAGATAACAAATTGATACACTTGTTTATATTTGTCTGAGCATTAAAAACACCAGTTAGAGTGTGACCGCTGTACGGATAAGAAGGAGTCAATGACCTCAATTTAGCTGTACTCGCGCGGTAGTAACTGCAACATTAAATGTAAAAAGATAGTTCCTGCTTTGAAAAATTACAACCACATTATATCAGGCTCCGTGAATACTTCCGTAACAACACTTGACAGTTAACGATATGGGTAAAAACCTTTATATTCATAGGGAAATATGCCTTTCAGTTTCTCACATAAAGCGATAAATTAAAAATTGAACCACGTTGTTCAATACGGTATAATGTGCTACCGGCGACCGACTAAGGTCAGATGTTTAGGTGAATTCAACGATTAATGTCATATTTCTTTCACACATATGGAATTATCATTTATCGGCTTAATTTAATATATAATCAAATAACTAAAGCATTCTTACCTTTTACCAAAATTTCTCCGAGAATCCTTAGAGATAGCTACCTTTATCCGGGCATTTTCGATTGTCCTCTTGTAACGCATGCGAACTGTGGAACTTCCTGTTTACATCCTGGTCCTTTTCAAACATGGCTGCGCTCAGGGGGAGCAGACGTTTCTCTGTTACTTTTCATTATTTTTTAGATAAGTCTTTGAAAAAATTATTTTACAACAAACAATTTAACTGTTTTAGTAGCTGGCGGAATTCTTTCAATTGCGCATTCACGAATTGTTGTCATTCACATGGAGAGCCACGAGTTTGTAACCTTAAATTACCACAGGGCCTTGGCCTAGGGCTAAGTTCTTCCAAAAGCCTACATGCGTCCTCGCTCTCACAGCAGCAGCAGCGTGAATTAACTAAGGCCAGCATGAATCTTAAGGATCCAGCTCCGCTACTCAACCATAAAAGAAATTGCCAGACATCACGAGATCTTTCCGACGATGAAGTGAGAAAATCTATTGAAGATATCGCAGACCAATTTAAGGAGGCTAGAGAACTCTTGGAAGATGCTGTAAGCACTGCTATGCCTGTGGCGACTAGGTGTTCTTCCTTCCCAAAATTAGTATTGTCAGCTAATATGCTTATTTAACCGTAACTGGACTTTTATAATAACATTTTGAAGTCGGTTTAGAAGTCGCCGTAAGGCGTGCTGTGATGAAGAATATTTTCGTGCTTAAATTTTTATGTACAGACACAGATGTGTCTGTACATATAGCCGTCATCTGCGTCTGCCGTCGTCGCCGTCGCTGTCGCCGTTNATCTATTATAGAAGACGCCATGGCTGATAGCGACTGTGTGCTTATGAAGTTCACTTGTGATGAGATTAGGGTAAAATTGAAGCTTTTGCAGTTTGATTACTCGATTGTTTTATTCTATTATTATGCTTTGATTTATGTTTCTCGGTTTTGTGATTCTCTATGTTTTTTTTTAGCTATATAACGTAAAAGTGGGCAAGCTTTATCATTTTTCCTTGTACTCAATTTACCGTTTTTCATTTCTATTGCAAGAAGCATACAATAACTTTGACCACTTCTTTCTTGTTTTCTCTTTGTTGCTTTAAGTCATTCATGCAAGTGCTCGTAAAGGTGAACAGGCTTTAAAATTTGCTTCGTACAAAATATGCCGATGTGGCTTTTCTGTTGCAGTAAGTATTCATCAACTTAAATCTATTTTTGTTTTATAAAATGGATTGCACTCGTACATAAATAAATGAAACATGGATGCATTCTTACAGATTGGCTTTATTTTGATAATGATGTTTGTCCTAATTATATATATATATATTTTTAGCCTGACATTGACCTAATAGAAGTTGGCACTGTTGACACAGCAAATACCGCTACTACGCTAGAAACGATTTCGTCCACCGCACTGATGCCATCAACACCTCTGTCAACTGCAGCAACACCACCGGAAACCCACACGTCAACCGGAGTGACGCCATCAACAACTTCCCTCACTGCACTCACATCACAATCATCCTCAACACCACTGTTGTCTACCACAGTGACGTCAGCGCCATTGTTGTCTACCACAGTGACGTCAGCGCCATTGTCGTCTACCACAGTGACGTCAGCGCCATTGTCGTCTACCACAGAGATGTCAGAGCCTTTGTTGTCTACTGCATCTGGTGTATAGGATTGAAATTAGAATTCATTGTGCTTAGAATGGAACTCAAACTTTCAAAAACAAATAATATGCAGAAAATCTTACATTTGTACTTTATGACGTATGGCTTAAAATAGAAACAACAGACATTTGTTCTCAACATTTTAGGTGATTCTGAGTTAAACCGGGGTGTTAACTGCTCAGCAGTGTCAGGTGTCTACTGGATCTCAACACACTATCATACGTTTAAGGTACCATAGGGTAGATATAACACTAGCCTGATATAAATCAATTTATAGATCAAATAATCACCGTTTTGCTCGCATTTTGTCAGATAAAGCAATGTTTTGGCTTGATAGTCTTGGCTTGATAGGTCTGGAACGTTTGTGACAAGAAAAGCAATCCACCAACTTGAATTACTTTGTATGGGTGATATTGTCCCTATGTATTGTCCCCGTTACCCGCAACTAACCCTAACCTGTACTTATCATATGGTACCCCGAACTTCTATCCCTAGGATTTACTTTCCTATCAAACCAGAAATATGTAATGCTACCGTGCAACAATTTTGTTGTAGAAATGTGAATATACTTCAGTGTTTTACCTGGTAAGGCATGGTTTTAATCTCCGTACTTTTGTGGCAAAAGTAGTAGATCATGTTATTCCACAAGTCCTTCCGTCTGCTGTCTCCTCTGGGACCATTAGTGTGATAAACCCATAATTTGGGGGAATGGTAGACCTACGAAACAATATAAAAAGATCGACAATACGATTAAAACAGGTTGCTTATAAGGCATAGCCTGTGTAAATTGTACTTTTCTCTCGTGTTCTGCAGGTTTTCTGTGATATGGACACTGATGGAGGGGGCTGGACTCTCGTCTGGAGTTACACTTTCACAAATTTTAGTTCAAACTTGACCGGTGCCCTAACACCAAGACCAAGTTGGTCAGCGTCTCAAGGCGATATTCCCATCTCCATTACTCCACCGCTGAACGAGACAGATTTCAATGCTGTAGATTTCTCATTGTGGAAATTCATCGGTACACAACAATTCTTGGTGAAATCGACCATCAGTAATTGGATAGCCTGTAATGGTAATAAGCTGGAAGAATTCAAACTAATATCAATAGACTGCCGCGTTGTCAAAACTATTGGTAACAGTTCATGCAAAGACGTGGTTCCCATTCGTTTTTACACCACTAATGGGTTTAGGAGCAGTTATCCTTTGGCTCGTAGAGGCCCGGTTCTTGCTGTATCAGGTGGTGCATACTCAATAGATACGACTGCGTATTATAACTTTTGGTCGTCCACAAATGGGTCGTACTGTCCCGTGCATGACCCTTGCGGTTGAGGACGCTGTTATGGACATAAAGCAGACCCCGTTATGCCATATGGCAACATTTATATTCGCTAACACATGGATGTTTGCTTTAATAAAGAGATAAGACGCGACAAGACGCAGATTCTATGGAATCGTAGAAAACAAGCAATCGTGGAACAATTTTCTGTAACATAAGTGAGTAATTCATGAATGTTCATTATCGTTTTTTAATTATTGCTTACGTATATTATTTATTTTGTGGGTTATGTTAAAATTCTTAAAGATGCATTGTTTCTCCTCTGGTTGCTGTAGTTTTATTTACCTTTAAATGATGCTACTAGTACGATTTGCGTGATGTAGAAAATGCATTGATGGATTGTTGATCAAATGCTGTTGAAATTTTAATCTGGACGTGTATTACATTTCTTCATCACATATTTATAAGAAAACGCAAAGTTGGTATAGACACAGTGCTTATGTTACATGCCTGCATCATTTTAGATCTTTTTACACTGCACTTTTTGTTTAATCAACGCATTAAGGCCTAGTTAAAGAGATCAATTAAAAACGTAAAGTGATGACAGATATTGAAAAATGAATTCCGTATAAAATGTACTTGTGTTCAAAGCAATTACACACAAAAACGAACACCTTATCACTTCAAATTTGTCTGCTTTCTGTGTATGTTGATCTTGGAATAAATGAGAATAAACCGAAGTTACCAATTATTATTGTTATTTTAACAGAGGTGATCTTTGATTTTTACTTACACAGTGTAATGACTGGATCTTTTCAATGGGGAAAATAATTTTTCTGACACATCATTTTAGAATCACAAAATTACATGCCTAGGATGTTCTACAGGAACATCTCCTGGGGTGAACGCCCAGTTGTGTTAACGTTAAATTGTGCTATAAGGTCCTCCCCCCAAACTTACCAGAGCCGCTCTTCTCTAAGGCATTCATCGCCAGCGCCGCCAGCCCGTGCTTCATGATATACATGGCAATGGCCGCTATGGAGAAACACGTGGTCGAAAACTCCATCAGGGAGTTGGTGCATTCACAGGATGAATGTTCTTTATTTCAGTGACTGTGTACATTTTTATAAAACATTTTCTCTGCATTTCCAGTTTGATTTTGTTAAGCAGAATTTTCAGATCAGAATTTCAAGTTAGCTCTTTATCCTCCTATTATCATATATGCCTGCTTGTTATAGCACATAATTATGGAGATTAATGTGTCAGAACAGGGTAGTTTTATATATAGCATTGATAGAAATCTCAAATTTTGTTTTATTATTACTCACAGTAAACCATATACAGAAATCTGTCAGGAGATTATGATAAGCAATTTTTTCTTCGATGTAACTGTGTATCTGTTGATCATGGAATAAAGTTTTTTCTTTGATGTAACTCTTAGACCCCATTCCCATAGATATTTAGATCGATCTATCCCTGTGGGGAGTCTCACTAGATTACTGTCAGCTTAACCGGCTTAAGCGTCTGTCCCGCCTACTAAAAGCTGTAAGGGGGTTATTAACTGTCGTGCCCGCTCGGCTGACTGCAATTTAGCGTGAACCCCTAGGGAGTTAGGTCGATCTAAATCTAAATCTCTGGATCGATCTAAATCTCTGGGAATGCACCCTTAGTCTAGTTGCCAGAATGCTAACCCTGCATAGTTCTTTCCTGTAAACTTTTATAACAGACATGCATTCTTTAGGGCTAGAGAAATAAAATCAGCTTGGTTGCTACTTCTGAGACATTGAACATTTTTCAGTATGGGTGCCAATTTGTGAATAAAAATAGAATACAGAGTGAAGACAAAAGATATACTTTATTTGTGACTCTGGCAAATGTTATTCTTGTCAGGAGAACAAAGTATGATTACATTAAAAACATTAATTGTATTAAAAACAAAATGACTACCAAAACACACAGCAGAGAGTAAAAAAGAGCTGTAGAACCACTCCATTTCTGGTCTAATAAGTCTAATAAATACTATCTCTGCCTTTGAATTTTCTGTTCATTATGAAGATTTGTCAGCTGTGATTCTAAACTATTATTATCAACTTCTCTGACATTCAACTAATGCTTGGTGAGGGCTTATGCCTCCCTAGTACAGTGTATTTGAGTTTTCACTCCCACAGGTCCCATAGTGAACCATGCTATTTTCTATTATTTTTGTAAAAGGAAATGTGTTTTGGGGGCAACAAAAGTTAACTTAGCTTGGCTTTTTTTTCATAACACAAGATGGCCACCAATTTGTTAAATAAAACTTTAAAACCATTCACAGAGATTCAAATTAATATAATATAATAATATAACATAACACAATATTTTGTGTTTAATTACATGTTTCTGAATACAAAAGTGTGTACTGTGATTATTTCTTTCATCTCAGCAAGTAATAAAAAATGGCTGCCAAAAGGTTATGGGAAAGGCCAAGAAAAAGCTGTAAAATTATGGATTTCAACTGATAAATACCTTAAATTAATGGAATCTGAATATATCACAGTAAAACAAAACAAAAATATAAAAAGCCCTGGTTAAAGCAGACAAGAAAATAAAATGTGCGACTGGATTGAAACTCATTGTGTTAGGTGTGGCATAGTCCATTGCATTTCTTGAGGCACAGTGACAGGGCGCATTCCATTGTACATGATGTACCCGCTGTGTTTCAGGGACTCAACCTTTTGTCATCTAAGTGGCTTAAGGGTACTGTAAGAGTTTAAGATCACCCAGATACCGAAAATAAGGTTTTCTTGCATGTAACGAAAGCCCCCTCAATAATATAAAATATATATTTCACGTTGCTAAGCATAAAAATATGCACTTCAAAGCGTCTATTATTAATTTTAGATCTATTTTGAAGTGAGATAGCAATGGGTGCTGGGCGTAATTCCACCTATGAATAAGATTTTATGACGAAAATTGGCATAGGTGACAACAGGTGTATGGGCTTCACTGTGTCATTATTGTGGTTTAAATTTTTTGTCTTGGAGTTATGAGTCCCTAATTGCATGTACAATACATCATTGACCAAAGGCTTTGGTTTGTCTTATACTGTAAGATAAAATCGAAACTGAGGATTTTAAGAAAAATCGCTGACAGTATTTTTGAAGTACATAATGGTGTCATAAATTTGGCGTTAAAAGGTGCTCTTGGGAACTCAGGTAAATGAGAAAATTAAGAAACCTATGTTGCATGTTTTTACTCCAAAATTACAATAATGACGTCTAAGGAAGTGAACATTGATGATTTATCCGTTATCCCAAAAATGTATGTTAGGCAGTAAATAAGGGGTTTTTTGTTTTGTTTTGTTTTGACAGTACCTTTTATGTATTTTATGAGTAATATTACAGTAACAGATTTAATAGTACATGTGATGACATTGTCATTCTTAAAGGAAGAATACCCATTGAAAATGTCCCGAAGTGATATGTCTACACATCCTGCAAAGCTTCAAGGACAAGTGCTTATTTTTCCCAACTCAGAACTTTAAAAACCTCCTGGTATCGATATTTCTTCCTTAAACATACATGTAGACATAAAAGTATCACTTTAAGGCCAAAACTGGCATATTGAAAAATTGCCCGCAAATATTGAGCGTTTTAGTATTTAATGCACTGTAAATATATTGGAAAACGCGTTCGTTTCATCACACTAATGGAAATTTCTTTATCGTGATAAATATTTAATAGATTACATCCGTTTTTGAAATGAACAAGCTCGGAACAACACTGGTAGTAGGCATTATTCTTTACTACACCGACCCTTAAAGGATATTTTAGAAAAAGTTCCAGGACTGCCTTCGGCCTTGTACTGAAACACCGAAATGGCTCAAGTGTTGCAATTAGTCGTTGGTATTATTGTCTTTGGTGAGTGAACTGATTTTAAAAAAATACACTAATACCATATATAAATCAATGTTAACCAAAGAGGTACCGCTGGAAAAGTGTAATTACTTGTGATACAGTTCAATACGACCCATTGGAGTGCTATTGATTTTTATTACTTATGCCTCTGTCGAGACTGAAACCGACTTAAATTTAAAATTCAAATTGATACCAGTTTCTGAATCTTTATAATGTATAATTTGATTTTATAGGTGATTTTATTCCTATTTTTATTTTAAGATAAAATGTTGTTTCAGAAATCATTTGTTGCTTCTGTCCACTGCACGTCACTGGTGTTAAAGTATCATCATGCAGAACAACAGTCTTACCTGGTTTGAGGAATGATGGCAACTTGAACACCACCCGAGACATCCTGATGCAGGAACCCCAAGAGGGTCTTCAAGATTGTGCCAGGATGAAATTCAAATCAACTGAGGCCAAATCTGTGCAGTTTTGTACCACGTCGAAGATGTGCATCGTTTTTAGCACCGAGTTAACGCCAGCTATTATAGAAGACGCCATGGCTGATAGCAACTGTGTGCTTATGAAGTTCACTTGTGATGAGATTAAGGTAAAATTCGAGCTTTTGCAGTTTGATTACTCGATTGTTTTATCCTATTATTATTATGCTTTGATTTATGTTTCTCGGTTTTGTGATTGACTTTGTTGTTTTAGTTATATAACGTAGGTAAAAGTGGGCAAGTTTTATTATTTTTCCTTGTACTCAATTTACCGATTGCCATTTCTATTACGAGAAGCATACAATAACTTTGACCACTTTTTTCATGTTTTCTCTTTGTTGCTTTAAGTCATTCATGCAAATGCTCGTAAAGGTGAACAGGCATTAAAACTTGCTTTGTACAACATTTGCCGATGTGACATTTCTGTAACAATAAGTATTCATCAACTTAAATCTATTTTTCTTTTATAAAATGGATTGCACACGAACAAAAATCAATGAATCATGTATGTATTCTCACGGATCGGCTTTATTTTGAAAATGATGTTTATCCTAATTATATTTCTAGCCTAACATTGACCTAACAGAAGTTGGCACCACTGTATCTTTAACAGACCGTGTTACGTCTGATCAACCAGGTAAGCCAGAAGAAAGTGGACTGAATATTATCACCAGTACATATATAAATATATCTCTTACAATAAAACATGATGATGTTTTTTTTAACGCACAACTGCATCTGGTGTATATGTTTGAAATTAGAATCCATTGTGCTTAGAATGAAACTAAAACTTTCGAAAAAAAATATACAGAAATACTTATATTTGTACTTTATGAATAATGGCTTGAAATAGAGAGAACAGGAATTTGTTCTCAATATTTTAGGTGATTCTGAGTCGAACCCGGGTGCTAATTGTACAGATATTCTCCAAGCCCAACCAGAAGCAGTGTCAGGTGTCTACTGGATCTCAACACAGGATCAAACGTTTAAGGTACCATAGAGAAGACATTAACACTAGCCTGGTGTAAATCAGTTTATAAATCAAATAATCACTGTTTTGCTCGCATTTCATTAGATAAAGCAATGTTTTGGCTTGATGGTCTTGGCTTGATAGATTTGGAACAAGAATGCCAATCCACCACTATGCATTACTTTGTATGGGTGATATTCGTCCCATATATTGTCCCCGTTACCCGTGACTAACCATAACATATACCTACATATCATATGGGACCCCGAACTACTACCCCTAGGACTTTTGTTCCTGTCAAACCAGTACTATGTAATGCTACCGTGCAGTAATTTTGTTGTAGGAATTTTTATATTCTACAGTGTTTTTAATTGGTAAGGCATGGTTTTTATCTCCGTATTTTTGTGGCAAAAGTAGTAGATCATGTTATTCCACAAGTCCATCCGTCTGCTGTCTCCCCTGGGACCATTAGTGTGATAAACCCATAATTTGGGGGGGGGGGATGGTAGACCTACGAAACAATATAAAAAAGATCGACAAAACTTTATGTTTAAAATAGGTTGGTTATAAGGCATAACCTGTGTAAATTGTACTTTTCTTTCGTGTTCTGCAGGTTTTCTGTGATATGGACACTGATGGAGGGGGCTGGACTCTCGTCTGGAGTTACACTTTCACAAATTTTAGTTCAAACTTGACCGGTGCCCTAACACCAAGACCGAGTTGGTCAGCGTCTCAGGGCGATGTTCCCATCTCCATTACCCCACCGCTGAATGAGACAGATTTCAATGCCGTAGATTTCTCATTGTGGAAATTCATCGGTGCACAACAATTCTTGGTGAAATCGACCATCAATCATTGGATAACCTGTAATGGCAATAAGCTGGTAGAATTCAAACTGGGATCAATTGACTGCCGCGTTGTCAAAACTATTGGTAACAGTTCATGCAATGACGTGGTTCCCATTCGTTTTTACACCACTAATGGGTTTAGCAGCGATTATCCTTTGGCTAGAAAAGGTCCAGCTCTTGCTGTATCCAGTAGTCCATATTCAATAGATACAACTGCGTATTATTACTTCTGGGCGTCCACAAGTGGGTCGTACTGCCCCGTGCATGACCCTTGCGGTTTAGGACGCTGTTATGGGCATAAACCAGACCCCGTTATGCCATATGGCAACATTTACATTCGCTAACACATGAATGTTAGATTAAATAAAGAGATGATATGCGACAAGACGCAGATTCTATGGAATTGTACAAAACAAGCAATTATGCTCATTATAGAATTTTTAACTGTTGCTTTAGTATATAATTTAATTTCTGGGTTATGTTAAATTTCATAAAGATACACTGTTTCTCCTCTGGTTGCTGTAGTTTTATTCCCCCTTTAAGTAATGATGCTAGTACTACTTGCGTGATGTAGAAAATTCATGGATGAATTGATCAAATGCTGTTAAATTTTTACTGTAGGCGTGTATTACATATCTTATAATCACATATTTATAAGAAAACGCGAGGCTGGTACAGACACAGTGCTTATGCTACTTGCGTTTATCGTTTTAGATCTTTTTACACTGCACATTTTGTTTAATCACCGTATAAAGGCCGGGTTAAAGTTATCAGTTAAATATGTAAAGTGATGACAGATGTTGAAAAATCAATTCCGTATAAAAGTATAAAGTGTATAAAGTGTTCAAAGAAATTACACACAAAAACACAAAAATGAACACCTTATCACTTCAACGCTGTCTGCTTTCTGTGCATTTTGACCATGGAATTAATGAGATAAACCGTAGGTATCTATTATTATTATTATTTTAACAGAAGTAATCTTTGTTTTTCGCTTACGCAGCGTTTGGTAATGACTTGATCTTGTCAATGGAAAAAAATTAATTTTTTATACACCAGTTTGGAATCACAAATACATCCCTATACAGCATTTTGGTGCTTTCAGTGTATTAATATTATTAGAACTGTAACTATTCCAAATTTAAGAATTTGATTTAAAACACAGTTATATTAAAATACTGTAAAACACCACCGTAGTATCTGTCCTTATATCAAAATAAAACACCAGGTTTGTGCACGGCTTTATTTCTACCATCAGGTGTAAGCAGGGCGAAAGAAACTGGATTTCAAGATACAGCAACTGCAAGAAAACATTCTTTCTGTTTTCTCCGGTTAGAAAACATGGTGAATTCCAAGCCAGTTATCAAAATAAGTTAAAACTAACCCAGTTTTTATCACAAGACCAGTTTTCTGTATCACAGTGCGCTAAGACGGCTTCCTACTGCTTGGCATCACATGAAACGAAGTGTTGAAAGCTGTTATTGCTCCATTATACACGTATATGTAGTCTAACTTTGATCACGCTATGTTCACGGTCGTCAGTCGGAAAAAGTGAGAGCGAGATAGAAAAAGAAAAGCAGAAAAGACAGAAGAACGACAGAACACGACAAATATATGCAGGAAAAAAATTAACTGACAGTGTCTTGTTGATTAAAATTCAAAAAAGCCCATTTTGCAGTGGAATAATTAAATTAAGCGAAACTAAATAAAATATCCAATACATCAACTTTTTTATATCGAGTGTTTGGATGAATGGTTTCTCTGGCTAAAAGCTTAACTACTAACACAAACATCTGTTTTGTTTATAATGTCCGACTGTAATTGGTGCTGCCTTTTCTCTTCAGCTTAAATTTTTCTCTTTATCGCTTAATTATAGTCTAATTTTTCTCTTTATCGCTCTCCTCGTCCTCCTCCTTTGGTTCTTCTTTAGGGCGCATTCCCATAGATTTTAGATCGATCTATCCCCGTGGGGAGTCTCTTACTGTCATTATATTACTATATTATTACTGTCCAATAATCCGGCTTAAATGTCCGTCCCGCCTACTACAAGCTGTAAAGGGGTAATTAACGTTCGTGCCCGCTGGCTGACAGCTATTTAGCTTGAACCCCCAGGGAGTTAGGTCGATCTAGTTGGATCGATCTAATCTCTGGGAATGGGGTCTTAGTTTCCATTCCGAACGCAGCCTTAAACCGCTTCACGATAAAGTCCACCATCTCGTAGTCGTTAGACTGCATCTCAGCGTTCGCCTTCACGGTAATCGTTAATGATGGTCAGGAACTACCCTCTACCAGGTCGACTGACAGATTTTTTACAGATGGATAGATAGATGGTCATTTTGGTCTGTAGACTTCAGACCAAAATGACCATCTATCTATCTAGAGACATATCTGTGAATATCTGTAAAAAATCTATCAGTCGCCCTGGTAGAGGGTAGTCAGGAACATCCCCATCAGTCCGATATAGACCACAGCCACGAACAAGAAGAAGAATACGGCCCCAGCACGGGATTGGCCTTCCTTCATGTCGTCAAAGCTGAACGAGCCGAGAGAGAACGCGAACAGCGCCTCCACTGAGCCGATGAACGTGTCATAACCTGGCAGATGGCGTCCAAACAGGAGGTACGCCGCCTGTCAGAAAGCGAAGATCCTGAGTGGCAATGCGGATAGTGTCAGTGACTTGCAGTGGATTAATTAAATGAAGCGAAACTGAATAAATGTTCCAATATATCAACTTTTTATATTGAGTGGATGGATGAATATTTTCTATGGCTGAAAGCTTAACTACTCCAAACGTCTGTTTTGTTTGTAATGTCCTACTGTAATTGGATCTGCCTTTTATCTTCAGCTTACACCGGCTAGAGAATCTAATTTTTCTCTTTATCGACCTCCTCGTAAAACTGAAAAACATTCATAGAGATTGAAATTAATATAATATAATAATATAATATAATATAACACAACATTTTGTGTTTAATTACATGTTTATGGATACAAGAGTGTGTACTGTGATTATTTCTTTCATCCCAGCAAGTAATAACAAAATGGCTGCCTAAAGGTTATTGGAAAGGCAAAGAAAGAGCTGTAAAATTATGGCTTTCAACTGATAAATACCTTTAGTTAATGGAAGGTGAATATGTCACGGTAAAAAGAAACAACCATGGTCAAAGCAGACAAGAAAATAAAACGTTGTGTGACTAGATTGAAACTCATTGTGTTAGGTGTGACATAGTCTATTGCATTTCTTGAGGCACAGTGACAGAACACAATTCATCGTCAGTGGCGGATTTAGAGTGAGGACAGGGGGGTCCTGACCCCCCTCCCTTTCGATTTCTGGTCCCCTATTGTAATTAGAATTTTGACTAGCTGAATTATAGTTGTAAACCGTACCAAATGGCAATGGCACGTTCGCCCTATAAAATTTCCGGGGCCCTTCAGCGGGTCCTGAACCCCATGGACATCATCTCACGACAATGTGGGGTGAATCAGCCAAGATAACCATCTCTTCATCTCTTAATTCCCGTAGTGCTAGTATAGACTAGTATTTGTTGAATTGGGGTGGCTGGTTTATAAGAATTTAAAATTTCATGTTCTGCATTTTTTCTATCCTTTCTATGTCTGATATCTATACGAATGAATGGTTTGTGTGTGTGTGTGTGTGTGTGCGTGTGTGTGTGTGTGTTCAATGTATCCAAGCCGACTTGATGGCGAATTGCACTAGTAATAGTGTATAAAACTTCCTTTTAACTGACAACAGCAAACATCAAATATTCAAAACGTCATCTCTTTGAAATGATAAAACTGATGGAAGCTAGATAAATCAATAAAACCTTCACTTACCACTCACAAGAGATCCTTTCAAATTGTATTGAAATTAATGGATTAATATTTCCAAAGTGCCGTGTCAGTTTTTCTGTCAACGGCATAAATCTACCTTTCTCTTTAAAAACTCAGGAAGCCGTTTCAAATTGTTATAACTATAGACTAGAATAATATATTAGTAGTCGCAAAAAGGGCATTTCGAATTAAACGTAGCCTATAATGTAAAATGTACTGTTTATTGTTGTACGTATAAGATTATTACCATCTCCTATATTCATTGGCCATTTTTCCAATTTTTTCCCTTTTATTCATTCTTTCTCATGTGTCTTTGACTTTGGCAGGCACTGACCCTCTGATTGGATTGGCTCTTTCTATCACTGTCAGGGACCACAGTATAAAAAGTGTAATTATAACTTTCAAACATTTGGTAGTAATTCAATCAGTGGAAGCCCTTTTCTGTTAAATCCACACATGGATAGCTAGTAATCTGTTAGAGCTTGATTACATGGACTTATTGAGGGTTCCCGCCATGAGGAGGAGCATGGGTGGCCTTGTGTCTGAAGTAACAAATCAGTTTATAAGTGATCGACAATTTAATTGATAAAGTTTAGCATAAAAATCTGTGAACTTAAATCTAGATGAGATACATGATACAGGAGATGGAGAGAGAGAGGGAAAGACTGAGGAGAGATTGGTTCGAGGCTGAGAAAGGATCTTTATTGTGCCGTGTAACTTTTAGTGAAGTGAAATGTATTCTGTTGAGGTTACAACATGGAGTCGTTTCATTCTTTTGCGTGTGCAAAGATTAAGACATAGATATATTTATTCTTAAAACATAAGATATATTTATTCCTTAAACATAAAATGAAGACATTAAAGTATAAAGTTCAAAGCAGGCATACTGAAAAATTGCCTGAAAATATTGAATGTTTTAGTATTTAATGCACCGTAAATATATTGGAAAACGTTTCGTCACGCTGATGGAAATTTCTTTATCGTGATAAATATTTAATAGATTACTCCGTTTCTGAATTGAACAAGCTCGGAGCAACCCTGGTAGTAGGCATTATTCTTTACTACACCGACGCTTAAAGGATATTTTAGAAAAAGTTCCAGGACTGCCTTCGGCCTTGTACTGAAACACCGAAATGGCTCGAGTGTTGCAATTAGTCGCTGGTATTATTGTCTTTGGTGAGTGAACTGATTTTAGAAAATACATTTAATTGCGAGATAAGTGGGAACGTTGAATTATACGAAGACTATATCATTAGTTGCGCTTTCTGAGGCTAGTTTGTTCCAAAAATGTAGGTTTTTAATGCAAATTAAGCGAGTACTAATGTCAAACTATTGCCACTAAACTCGACCAAATCCCACCGTAGTGGCTCAGTTAGTACTTTCGTCACATAATTTCCCGAAAAACAATATGTGCACTATAATTTTTCTACGCACTTTTCTTGTCTTACTGAATTTACGACCAGAAAATTGAAGAAGGTACAACTTAAAAGTGTTTTTTTTTTCACTGTCC